CATAATATTTAATTCCTTAAACTTATTCCGTACCGACTCCCTCGGAGAAACACAACAAATACCCCGAACAGCCCGCTTCTGCAGCACAAATATGGATTGAACCTCTGCAGCAGCACCCCACAGTAAAATGCCGTACGACATAACGCTATGAAAGTAGCTATGGTACACAATTTTAGCCGTGTCCTCATCAGTAAACTGTCGGATTTTCTTTACTGCATATGCTGCAGAGCTCAGCCTATTCGAAAGAGTCTCTATGTGTGGGCCCCATTGGAGTTTACTATCTATTGTTATGCCTAGAAAAACAGTTTTGTCAACAAAGTTTATTTCACTGTCCTTAATTTTCAGGTTACCAATATCTCGCTTTACGCTAGTAGTTGTAAATCTAATACATTTTGTTTTATTCTCATTAAGCAATAAGTTATTTACATTAAACCAGTTAACTATACGAGAGATAGAATTGTTTACATCGTCCAATAATACGTTATTCCTATTCACTTTAAATAGAAGTGAAGTGTCATCAGCAAACAATACCATCTCATGAACTTCGTTGACAAAGAATATAATACGGAGCCTACGGATAGAACCAGCAATACAGATAAAGTGTATGTACCAAAGCCAGAACCCATCTTTGTTAGTGGCGTAATTAACGTAAACTCCCTTAAAGATGTACTTAACAAATTTATAAAGAACGAACTTTACATCATGACCACACTTAGATCTGGACACGTTATAAAAATTATACCTAAAGACATCCAGACATACAAAATGATCCGAGAGAACTTCATTGCCAATAATATCTCACACTATACTTACCAGCTTAAAAGCGAGAGAGCATATAGAATAGTACTACGCGGACTCCATGCATCAGAAAATACCTCAGAAATTTCAAAAGAGTTATATGAAATTGGACATGAAGTGAGACAAATAGTCAATATCAGACATCGTGTTACAAAGGAACCGTTGCCTGTATTTTATGTCGATTTAGAACCAAAGCCAAACAACAAAGCCATTTTCGATGTGAAATACTTGAATAACATGAAGATTACTTTTGAAGCCCCATATAAGAAAAAGGAAATCATTCAGTGCAAGAGATGTCAGAGATTTGGGCATTCCAAGAACCAATGTTTTAGGCCCTATCGCTGTGTTAAATGCGGTAGCGCTCACCCCACAACAACATGTACAAAAAAACCAGACACTGAGGCTACTTGCACGAACTGTGATGAAAAACACCCCGCTAGCTACAAAGGATGCAAAGTGTACAAACGGTATAGAGAAAGAATTCTTAAATTAGATCCTAAGTCAAAAGAAAAACCAATGCCTAACAATAAAGAGAACAAAAACCCAGATCCCCGCCTGGGTACTAAGACTAACCGCAGAGACAATCAAAGCTTAACCAAAACTTATTCAGAAGCAACAAAAACCAAAGAACAAGATACTCAGCAAGACACAAAGAACGGCTTGGGCGACTTTTCTGATTTAATGGACATAATGTTTGAAAAACTACAACATTCAATGGTGACAATGATGGAAAAACTCATGGACAAAATGATGGACCGCATGGTCCAGCTAGTCAGCAGCCTGGTAAAAAAATGACCCGAAACCTCCAAGTAGTAACTTGGAACGCCAACGGCTTGACCGAAAGACGTCAAGAATTAGAAACTTTTCTCAGAACAGAAATGATTGACATAGCACTAATCTCTGAAACAAGATTCACACCGAAAACACACATAAACTTTAATAATTATACAGTATACACAACCAATCATCCATCTGGGAACAGCCATGGAGGAACAGCAGTAATTATTAAAAACAACATTAAACACTACCCAATAGAGGAATACCGAACAGAAAAAATACAAGCTACATCTATTAAACTTGTAGACAGAAAACTAGAAACTACATTCTCCGCTGTGTATTGTCCTCCAAAACATACTATATCTTCTAACGACTTCGCGAAATATTTTTCTACACTGGGTAACAGATTTATATGTGCTGGCGACTGGAATTCTAAACATTTAAATTGGGGATCTAGGCTGAACAATACTAGAGGAAGGCAACTTTATAAAGCCACAGTAGAGATGAAATTAGAATGTCACTCCGGCAGAGAACCTACCTATTGGCCTACCGACAGACAAAGAATCCCAGACTTATTGGACTTTTTTATTGTTAAAAACATAGATAGTAACTACTTAAACATAGAACCTCGAATAGATCTCACATCTGACCACACACCAGTTATATTGAATGTTACTACAACAGTTAATCTGGTATCACCGCCCCTAAGGATATACAACTCGAACACTACAGACTGGACAATTTATAAAAATATAATCACAACAGAGACAGAACTAAAGACCAAAATTAATACAATAGAAGAACTTGAAAGACAACTGGAACAACTTAATATGAATATTCACATTGCTGCCAATTCTGCAACTCCAAAAAAGACAGGTAATGGACAACCTCTGAAACATAACTCATATCCAAAAGATATTAAAGAGAAAATACACGAGCGCCGACGTTTGAGAAAAATCTGGCATACTACGGGATATCCAAGTGATAAAACTGCATTCAATAGATACTCAAATGAACTCAAAGCTCTTATCAGCACCCTAGAAAATGATAATATTCAACACTATCTCTCAAATCTAGATCCAACGAGAGACACAAACTACTCACTATGGAAGGCTACCAAGAATCTAAAGCGCCCGAAAAACCATATATCACCTATCAATGATGAAAAGGAGGATGGGCTAGATCAGATAAAGAAAAGGCAACAATCTTTGCGGAATATCTGAAAACAGTTTTCCAACCACTCCCTGAAAACAATCCCGAACATACTTTGGAAATCAAAGAATACCTCGAGTCAGCGAATCAAATGTGTTTACCACTAAAAAGTACCAGCCCAAAAGAAATTGTGAAAGAAATTAGGAACCTCAAGGATGGTAAAGCACCCGGCTATGACCTGATTGATGCCACATTACTTTAAAACTTGCCTCATAAAGGTATCATGAAATTAGTTAACATCTTTAATGCTAGCTTAAGACTTGAACATTTCCCTGGGCAATGGAAAATTGCACATATAGTCATGGTGCTGAAACCCGGTAAACCCCCACACGAAGCTGCTTCATACAGACCTATCAGCCTGCTACCAGTTATTGGCAAACTGTTTGAGAGGATATTGCTTAACAGGATGAAAGAACATCTAAGTACACTATTACCGAACCACCAATTTGGATTCCGGGAAAAACACGGGACAATTGAACAGGTACACCGTATAGTTGACACCATTAGCAGGTGCCTTGAAAACAAATTATATTGCTCTGCAGTCTTTTTGGATATCAGCCAAGCGTTTGATAAGGTATGGCATGACGGCCTCCTGTTCAAGCTAAAGAAGCATCTTCCACATTGTCTATTCCTAATATTGAAATCCTACTTAGAGAAAAGATGCTACCAAGTGAAGTTCGGCGATGATCTCTCAGAAGTACACGAATTAAAATCAGGTGTCCCTCAGGGTAGTATATTGGGCCCTATACTATACCTCATTTTTACAGCAGACATCCCAACAACTAACTACACCACGACTGCGACATACGCTGATGATACGGCGCTTCTGTCGGCTCATAGCAACCCAGAAACGGCATCATCACAGTTGCAAAACCACCTGATAGAAGTTGAGAGGTGGCTGAAGCATTGGAGAATTAAAGCCAACGAGAGCAAATCGGTACATGTAACGTTTACTCTTAGGAGAGAAACATGTCCTCCGGTAACGCTAAACTGCAAAGTTATCCCTCAAGAAAATAACGCAAAATACTTGGGCATGCACCTAGACAGGAAACTTACATGGCAAAAACATATTTGGACAAAGCGCAAACAACTGGATGGAAGGCTGCGGACACTGAACTGGTTACTGGGACGCAAATCACAACTTAATCCTAACAGCAAGATGCTAGTGTATAAAACCACCTTAAAACCAATCTGGACTTACGGGATACAACTGTGGGGAACGGCCAGCAACAGTAACATAGATATCTTGGAGAGATTCCAGACCAAAGCTCTGAGAACAATGTTTGGCATCCCACATTGTATAAGCAATAGGTACATATACCTCGACCTCGGCCTAAAAACAGTTCGACAGGAAATAGCTCAAAACAGCCTGAAATACCAGGAGAAGCTGACCTCCCATGTAAATAAACTGGCACACGCTCTGAGCGGAGAAGGCGGTCTTCAGCATAAGCGGCTAAAAAGAAGGGACGTACCGAGCCTATATAAAAGATTTACCTCTTAACATCAAGAGAGTCGTGGCTCTATGTCGAGTATGGCTCTTGAGGATAACATGAACTGAGTAAAATCAAACAAACAAGTGGCTTATTGCTGGATAGCAGATTGCCATGAAGCAGATACAACAAAAAAAAAAAAAAAAAAAATTAAATGCTTCTAATTTTAAATTTACTGCCAGTTCTCAAGGGCGTAGAACGGACGAGAAGAACTGGCAATAAACTCTCCGCCACCCTTTTTAATCGCCAAGTTTTTTGTTTTACACAACGTTTGTAAGGAGCTGCAAACATTACACCATGTTCCACATGACATCTTAAGTAATAAATGATATGTAGATAATAAAATAAATTAAAAACAAAGATTTGTCCTCTGTCAGCAGGAGGCATGGTGAAATAGGAGCACGCACTTACATTCACGTGGGAAAAACACGCAAACTTATACTAACGCATAACTATACTTCTTTTGGCGCGTTAGGGAAAAATGATGAGAGTAAATTTTTACGATGCGCGCGCACACCGTCACAAAAAACCGACACCCTGAAGTTAGCTATAGTCAACATTTTAGTTTTTTCTATTGTTAGTGTCGTTTTATCTACAAACGTAGAACAACATTTTTGAAAACTTTTTTATCTTGTTACGCCAAAGAAGTATAACTTCTAACGCGTGTACATCAGTACACACACGTTTTTTCAACTAAGTATGACACACATACAAATAAAAGAATCAAGGATTTAAAGGTTTATTCTCTTCTTCCATTTTCTTCTTAAGCGCAAATAACTTCTTGTACTCCTTTGCGAGCTGGTCTGGTGAATACTCCACAGGATCTGACTTGAAGAAACCCGGGCCAACTTCCACGTGCGGACGGTTGACCATTCTTCTAAGGTACATATCGGTCATCTAGAAGAAATAAGTGGACCACGAACTTTAGAAAATTCAAAACATTAAACACAAACAAAACATAAACAATAACTAGTAGACTCGGCCAAGCGTTGCTCTGGCTAAGATTTTTGTTATATTACATAGTAGTAAACTATTCAAGGGAAACGGTAGGAGAACTTATGTGAAAGGTAGATGACAGCTTATGTGAAACGTTGATAATTTTAACACAGCGCCATCTGTTAGAATTGTATCAAATAATAAACAAATATTTTACAATAAATTAAAATTGCGACTATAATTTGAGATTTAAACTATCCTATCTCTCAAGTTGGATCGAACTGCACATGGTGTGCAAATTTGATTGATATCGGTTCGGTAGTTTAGGAGTCCATTGAGGACAAACATTGTGACACGAGATTTATATATATTAAGATTATGCGTGTGTGCTAAAGTGTAAAAACTATACTAGTGGTGATTTTCCTTTTCTACACTAAACTCTAAAATCCTTTAAAGTATTCCGTACAGTCACCTTCGTGCGTATTAGAATAAATGCATACTTTTTATCCTATCCTACCCATAAAGAAATTATCAACAATTATGGTCTAAGATCCCGCTGCAGGATTGGTGCGCTCATCGACTATTTGTTTAAAACCAAATTTTTATGTTTATTTATAATTAAGAGAATATATATTTACTAGGGTGCCTATCAAAATTTGGCCGCCATTATTTTTAACCTGGCCGAAACGAAAAAAGCAATGTACTCGACTTTAATAATGTATCATTCCAAAACTGCTCGCTAATGTAATTAGCTTCAATTTGACATATAATTAATAAAAATAGGTTATAAACGTATAAATTTATCGAAATCATACCTGTTTACACCTGGCTGCAAAGAGGTGCGGCCAGGTGCGCAACGGCACCCGTGATTTTTTAGAATCTTCATATTAATTACCGTGATGTAGACGTTATTTTATTTAAATAATAAATGAACGAAATTTTTTACCAAAAATCAATTAAAAATAATTTAATTAAAAATAATGGCGGCCAAATTTTGATAGGCACCCTAGTAAATATATATTCTCTTAATTATAAATAAACATAAAAATTTGGTTTTAAACAAATAGTCGATGAGCGCACCAATCCTGCAGCGGGATCTCGTACTATTAGCAACAGTAGGCATAATTTTCAAATCATCGGGTACAAATACACTTAAGCCCAGTACAATACTAAAGCTACCCTCTATTTAGTATAAACAGACAATATTCAAAGTACCCGCAGCCAATCCATTGGAACATTTCTCTCTGGACCAGACACAGTGGCTCCCGCGGGGATCGTCGACACGATTGTCTGCAATGCTATGATACTAAATAGTTTGTACATTCTGAAAACAGGGGAAAACTTAAAAGTTGCCTTCCTTAGCTAAAAAAGCAAAAGTCTCTAAATGGGGAGTCAGGTAGAGAGTGTTCTTATCATTTCCTGTGACGGTAGAACTATACCCCTTGGTCTCAGATTTCTGTATCTCTCTTGATATTTTTTTCTCAAAGAATAGCAGCCTTTTGGTCCTGGCAAATGTATGAGTGTGTTAATTTTATTGTGGACAATTTGAGTTATATATTCCTGTGCCTTTAAACGGAACATTTAAAAAACTGTTTTTTTTTACCATTAGATAAAAAAAACGTTTTTTTATTATGATGTTAAATCTTTCGTATAATTTATCGACACCACGCGATTGAATCAAAGCACATCAATTTCAATTTTGAATTTCAAAAATTCTTTATTTTGTTTCACAAAAATTTATAGTGCTACATATCCAGCGTACATTATTTCCTGGAATGTAACAAACTTACAACTAGACACGTTTTTACAGCTATTTTGCTTTTTTAAAAACTTATAAAACTAAAGTTGTAATGTTTCGAAAGGTTTTAACAATAACAAACTATTTTTAACAATGAGGTAAACTACCTGGTAATTATGCAATCTTTAGATGAGGTTTGCATTTTGACATGCCTAAATTGAATAACTAAATATAGTTCTAACAATAAATGTGGTAGCACCGAGAACAAAAGAGTGGACGGCAAGCAATCACAATAGGAACAGTCACCCGCAAAGTACATCGGTTTTTCTTTCGAATAAGCGTTGTTTGAATGTTTTTTGTAAAGTAAATTGTTAATTATCTTCACGTGTTGGAATTGAAGCATCTGGAAACTTCGGTTCGCTAAGTTAGGTTAGAGGAAAAATATTAATTAATTGTAATTAATATTATCAATGATTATTATAACTTAATAAATAAACTTCTAAACTTAAACAGAACTAATCTCAAAACAATAATAGGGACAATTACGGGCCATTGTCTCCTTAATAAAAATCTTTTTGTCCTAGACAGTCCCATATGCAGAGGCTGTTTCAGCGCAGAGGAATCGGTCACCCACGTTGTCCTGGAATGCGAGGCTGTGGCTAAACAACGTGCAGAAATCCTCGGAACAGTGAGGTCGCTCCGTGAAGCCTGCAAAGTGCCCAGGAGGCTTCTGTGCTTTTGGAAGGACTTTACGCACGACGGACCTATTGAGAGTCTAAGTGCGGTAACTGAGTCCACAAACCAATTACCAATAACTTAAAAAATGCGTTAATGATTCGGGTTTTAAAAAAATATTATAGTAGGCGATCAGGCTTGTGTGCCCGACACAGGCCGTCGACTTTTTGGTTCTATGCCTTAGACCGGTATCCTCACGATGTTTTCATTTACCATACGAGTGATATGCGCCCATAGACAGAAAGTCCATTGGGATCGATCCTTTGACTACAGGGATGAGAGTATCAGCCAAAGCCAACCAACACTTCTCTTTATTACAGATAACTTAATAAACATTGTTAACTTACATCCTTGACTCATCTCGTTGAAGAGAACATTAGATATCGATTTAATTTGAACTTTTAATTAAATCCAGCATCAAATCTGTTATCTCAAATTGATTCATTTAGCACGATATTTCACGGTCTTCTTAAAGTCGTTCGTTATTAAGTTCTCAAATGAAAATTTTACCAAATATTTTCTAGAATATTAACTGTATTTTAGATGACAAGAATTGAAATTTTATAATATCAGTTTAATAGTAGTGGTTAGTGGTATGTGTTTCAGCTCCCGCGCGAATGGTTTTTTTGTGACACTTTTTCATAAGACATACAGTCACGTGTAGTAACATTATAGATTCTTTGAGCATTACATTACAATACTACCTTATAACGGTCGGTCGCTTTCCTCCCTCAATAATTCCCGCATCTATAACGTTACATTACACGCGAATGCCGGTGAGGGAGCGCCTTTACATCGACGATGTGTGGCAAAAAATACTTATCTCATATAAGTCATGACAAATCATTAGTAATCTAAAATATTTTTATAAACACCCCTATGGGCTAATTGGTAGGACATGTGGCCGGCCCAGATGGCAGACAGCTGAAAGCTAGCAAGGTAATGGTGCATGACTGGGACTGGAGTTTTTGTTTCTGAGACCAAGACATATTTTGGGTCGCAAAGACAGAGGAGTAAGTGTTATTATATTTTTACCCCTATATTAAAGTACTCAAATCAAATAATAATGAAATATTTAAAAATACATCTAAATCTGTATAACTGCGATTTTGAAGTACTCTTTTGTCCCTTTCTGTTAGATTATGTTTTTGCTGTGATTATAAAAGACAGATGAGTTTAATTAAAACGTTGCAATTACACTTATACTTATTTATGAAAAATAGGCCAGGAGATAGTGACACAAAATAGTGGGTCATTTGTACCAGTATGGCGGTTCTTCAGGGGTCTTGTTACGCAATGAAATAAAGATAAATGATGGTCATAGCGCTGGTACCGGCGGCCCAAGCGCGTTCTAGTATTTTCCGATAGTCCAAAAAAAAATAAGAGGCGGCAGTGTCATACCTCTCCGGTGTGACTTACCAACGTTGATTAAATAAAAATTCAACTATTTGTACCAGACTAATTTTTGCACAGTTGATTATCGTCGTGCAGCATTCTTTTCGGACGGTTCCAAATGGCAGCCATACCGCTGAAAATCAGCAATCAGCAAAACGATTTGTACCAGTCTAAAAAAATTTTTCAACAGTCCCTGTATGATAAATAGAAGTCTGATAATGCCATACCTGTGGGAGGTGGCGAATAATTCTCGTGGAAGAACACTCAAGTCTCTAAGACATCTTAGAAAATTACGACCTAGCCTAACTTAAGACTAATAAGTAATGTAAGTCAAACCTTATTTACTAATAAGGATATTTAACATAAGAAAGGGTCCAATAACTGTTTCCAGTCTCTAATAAATGGAACACTCTGTCCTTGTGTTCTATTTTTTTACTTACCACATTGTTTAGTACTTAAGATTAACGTGCGTAACTAGCACTAATTCACTAGTTCTTTTGACAGTAAATAAATAAATCAAATAGGCGTCCACTATAATAATTTTTCACTTTTAGTAGCTGAAACCTCAATGATCCAGGAAAATCAATTACTACGTTGTCAGTTGAAAGCAACGATTTGCATAAATCACGGTGAGCCGCAGTAAATTCCCACAAAGCACCTTATAATGGCAAGAATAGCCCAGGCTTCATCCACTCTTCTTTTAATGGCTTTTATAGTACATATTTGAGAGGGTAAATTATGTTGCTTTTTTGGGTCAACAATTCTTTAGTCAGGATAGTAACGCTTAGTGCTATAAGATTTACGAAGATCACTTGAGGTGATTTAGAGGGTGAAGCCTTCAGGTTAAGTATTATAAATTAAAATTCTCCCTCGTAGGACGACGATCATAAAATATTATGTAAAAGATTTTCCTTTTGAATAATATTTAAAAAATAATAAGTTAAATATTTCTGTGTGGTGTAATAATTTTAATAAGTAAGGGGCTGTCCATTAATCACGTGATGTTTTTTTAAATTGTTTAACCCCTCCCTCCCCCATGGTGATACATGGTGAGGTTTAAGACTAGCCCCCACTCCCCACCAAAAATCACGTGTATTTTTTAGTACCTACAAAGAATCTTAAATTTTTTATAATATTATTTTTAAGTACCGGTATAAAGTACAATCTAATCATATTCTAGAATTAAGGACCATGATAAAAATGTCTAGACAGAAAGGTTGCAGGTTGTTTTTGACTGGCAAAATAATAATATTAAAGGAATGGTGTAATCATGCGAAAAACATATAATGTACATGAACTTATTTAATGTACATTTCCACAGATTAGCAAAACTTCCTTCAATACTAACAACTCGATAAGCATCTTGCAAGTCAGTTGTTGGCACTGCACTTTGTTGAAGATCAACGTCGGTTTCATCAAGCCACTTGGCGTCATCACGCGCACTACGCAGAGAATCTGATCTACTGATCAATCGTTTTTCTAAGCCGCTTTTCGGTTTAGAAATCACGCGTTTGGCGAAAAAATAAGAACACGTGATATCTTACTGTACCCCCCCTCCACCTTGTGATATTTCGTGATTTTTGCCGAACTACTCCCCCCCCCCTATGGAGCCTCACGTGGCACTCCTTTCTTCATAGTGGTAGAATAGTGACGGATCTGACGAATAGTAGTAAACTTTACAGGGCAGCCATTTCAAAATAATATAATCAGAACTATTTTAATTTATATTTTGTTATTATGAAAATTGGCATACAAGCAAACAAAAGGGTTTGTTTTGAAACAATATAAAAATAATAACATTAAATTACACAGTTTTCTAGAAAAATCACGATTCTATCAAATCCGTCACTTTACCGACTGATTAATTTGAAATTTAAAACGCATGGATTTTTTTTTAATGTAGCCGTAATATTTAGTCAATGTAGTATCCTAATATGATAAAAAGTGAATTTTGAGATTTTTTTCAAATCGAACAAAAATTACTTATGACGGCTCGGCAGGTGGACTCAGTGATGGCTGCCATATCGTGACAGATATCTTTCTTTCAATTGCGCCAGAGAAGTCGGCTTATTAGCGTAGACTTTAGATTTAAGATAACCCCATAGTAAAAAATCCATAGGGGTTAAATCAGGACTGCGTGGAGGCTAATTTATGTCACCTCTTCTGGAGATCAATTTGCCTAAGAAAATTTCACGAACTTGTAGCAGAGACCTAATGGACGTGTGTGACGTTGCTCCGTCCTGCTGGTACCATGTTCTTTGGTTACCTATAGCCAGGAAATTTTTGAAGTTCACCACCCAGAAGTCGTCTAACATTTTCACATAACGCTCTGAAGTGAAATGTAATGTCTCTTTTGAGACACCTGTTATATAAATATACATAAAGGAACAATTAGTTTTGCTATGAGGCCTTACCTTATCTTTTGTACCAAATTGTTATAAACTTCGTGTACTGTGTACAGGGTTGCAACCCTATGTGGATAATAGCTTTAGATTGTCTGTGTCTTTTATCTCATTGGGCTCAAAAACGATAATCTCAAAAATCTAACATTTTTTAGCTAACTAAAGGTCCAAAAGGCCGCTCCTTTATTTCTACTTATAGAACAGGGGGCAAACGAGAAGGCTCACCTGATGTTAAGTGATACCGCCACCCATGGTTCGGAAATACTTCAGTGGGAAACAAACTGTTTATAAAAATGCTTCGGTATATAGTAATGCACTTACTTGTTTGACATCAATGGTTTTAATTCGGCAAATTTTAGTGAACAAAATACGACTCAAAATATTCACGACGATCTTCAAAATATTGCTATATCATTAGAACAAGAACTAAAAGTATACAAACATAACATACTAATTCTTATTATAAGGCTTATAATTATCATTTAGCGGGAACGCACCTGTATATTTTTTGACAATGTAACTTGACATAAACTTATTTGTCTATTGTCAATATTCCAACTCAATTTTGACTTTTGCTACAATTTACAAAACAAGATTCAAATTTAAAACTTTTGTGCCGGTTAACAAATATAAACGTTGTTCAATGGTCTAATTTCTACAAAATGTCTATTTTCCAAGGATTTCCTGATTTGCCTGGCCCAAACGAAACTGCTTTTTGCAAAATAAATGAAGTGTATTGTTGCGGAAACGTCCGCCACGGAGATGTATCTGCATTTACAAATACGGTGAGGTTATATATGTTAAGAGTTGTTGACAATATTGCTATGTTAATGTGGGAAAGTAATCGCTAAAATTCACCTAATTTATTCCAGACAAATCATCACCCAAAAATCAATGTAACAAGAGATCTACATCATCATAGATTGTCCGATGAAAATATATCTATGTACATAAACGTTGAAGACAAGTTTCTCAAGAAAATATCAAGTGTTTGGTACAATCAAGGTTTCTTAGAAGCTCTTAGTATAGCTGCAGATCCTAGCATAAATACTGAAAGTAAATTACTAGCTGTTGCAGCAACATATGCTTTAAAAGTTGCAAATGCATTTTCAACATTTAGATACTTCCTTCAACCTCATTTAAAAGATATTGGACCAAAAATTGTGTCTAAATACTCTAGAACTCGTAGCTGGGGTGCATCATCCGTGAAATGTATGGCATGGCATCCACATACAACTAAAATTGCTATAGCTACAGCTGATGATGGGGTGAGAATCTATAGTTCTGATGTTTCATTTGTATCAACACTAAAGTGCAAATCACAAGGACATGTCTCCTCCTTAAGCTGGAGACCTTACTCAGCTTCAGAGATAGCTGTAGGTTGTGAGCAAGGAGTGATAGTGTGGACTGTAGACCCTAATTCTATGTTTACAAAGCCTTCATCAAGTAATGCAGTAGTTTTAAAAAGGTATGAGTATTTTTCAAAGTAAAATAATATAACATGTATAACCTATATATAACAATGAATAACTTATAATGTAAATAAGTATATTTTTAATAAATGATATATTTTTATTAAAGGTCTGGCCACAGTCCAGTTACTGATGTTAGCTGGTCACCAAATGGAGACCTTTTAATTAGCTGTTGTGGTGCCGACACTTCTATGCTGGTATGGGATGTTGCCATGGAAACTGCTGTGCCATTGAGGAGGGTTGCAGGGGGTGGAATAGTGTTTGCAAGATGGTCACTTAGTGCTAATAAAATATTTGCTGCTACTTCATCTATTATTTTTAGGTATGATCTAGATTTTTTACATTAAAATAATTATTTTTAAAAAGTTAATTACATTTTATGAAATTATATCTTATTTAAAAACAACTATCAAATTCAATGCGATAGAAGTATCTTATCATACCATTTACAATTGAGGAAGTATTCTCCTTATATTATGAGACTTAAGCATCTAACTACTTAATCACGGGCTTTTAGAGTGTGGGATACAAAGTCATGGACGCCTGAGCGTTGGTGTGCGCGGGGATGCCGCGTCGTCGCCGCCTGCTGGGGCCCTAATGATGTTGTGATGTTTGCAGCAAAAGGAGAACCAGTTGTGTATGCTTTAAGAAATATTGGATTATTAAATGGTAATTTTGGGTAACATATAAAAGATAGTGTTAATTATAAACAAAATAAGCAGCTTTTTGACAATATTTACAAATATTATAATTGTGAAATATCAATAGTACAAATAATATTTGTTGTTTATGACAAAAGTTTTGATAGTATATATTAAAAAAGTTAACTAAGATTAAATTAAAGTATAGACTATTCTGTTTCTCTATTTAAACTTGTTTCTGAGAACAACAAATTTACAAATTTCATAAGCAATACAGTTCTAGGTACTTCATTACTGACTTATTAAGTTTATAGGAAATTTATCATAGCCACTTATCTAATAATTTTCTGATCTCTTTAAACCAATATTTATGTGAAACCATACATAAATGGATTTGAATAATTTTAGGAGCAAAAGACAGCAAAGCACAACCAGTCTTAGATGTTACAAAAGTGGAACTAGTGTCAGGATATACCATTGGGGGACCCATACTTGATATGTGCTGGGATCCATCAGGGAAATACCTTGCCCTACTGTTTGAAGAGTCCCACATAATAGCTGTGTTTTGTACTACACAGATGATGATGCAACTGAATGTGTCACCATGGTGAGTAGGATTTTTTCTAAAATAATTTTTTTAACAATTACAAAAACAAACTTAAAGATTAATGAACGTGATTATTTTCATTCCAGTTGCTATATCAGTGGAATCGATAATGAAGTTCCATCAACAATAGCATTCCAGCAAAACTTCACTGAGGGTGCTTGTCTTACTATTGCATGGTCAAGCGGTAGAGTCCAACATTTTCCAATAGTTTACACAGATTCGTATTAAGCATTTAATAACTTTTTAAATGTTTTTATATTTAATCAGATCCTTTATGTCATTTCAATGAAAGGTTTATTATATTTTTTAAATTATTAATCAACCTCCTTACGAAACCTACCTCTGATAAACTTCAATTAGGGAATATGCAAATTTGTATATATATTCAATTGGTTGTTTACATTGTAATAATATAGAAAAAAATATTTTTTTTTCAATGATTCACTTCTACTGACGAAGTCTGAATATCGACGCCGATAAATCCAATATAGGTTTAAAACAATATATTCATACAAATTTTAATATTACGCATATTCCCTGTTATTTTGTTTTGTCACTTGTTTTCAAACACAGTATCATTAAATAACACGATTGTTCAAGGTTTTTTTCTGTAAATTGAATGAAATTTACATTCAATTAATTTATTAGTTTGCCCAAAAAAATTTGATAAAACTGTCATTTTATAAGTGTTGTGATGCTGATTAAGGTGATTTTGTATGTATTATAAGACAATAAAAGTGATTTCATCTATTATAAATTTTATTTATATCAAATCGGAACCCTGAATAGTGTAGTCCTCGTAACATTCATAGTAGCGTAGGTATAATTTTTACTTCTGAAACTGTTTTTATCACTTTTAATATCGAATAGACGTCTATAATTTGTCAAATTGAATAATTCTTTGATTTCTGATTCAATTTCGATGTTGCTATTATCAACGTCACCATTTCGTCTGCCTTTATATTTACCGTTGCAAAATCTGAATGCAAAACAAATTCTTCCAAGTACTTCTCTTTGTAGATTTTCTAAATCTACTTTTAAGCTTATGTTCAGATCATCCTTTATTCCTGACGATAACTTGGCTTTAGTACCTTTTAATTCGTTGCCTAAATAATTGTTAGCATTATTTTTTATCTCTGAAATTGTTGCTCGTACATAATTAGATAGGGATTTAATATTGCCTTCTTTAGATTGTTTACTATCCAATTTAATTGCTTTAGTGTTTTTGATAAATATATCCACTATTGCTTTCTCCATTTTAATACTTGTAGTGTTAATGGATGAAACAATTGTTGGCTTTTCTGCGAAGTTATCGGTATCTCTGATGTACATTTCTGCATAATTTCTTATAACACTCACCGTTGTGTCATTAATAAAGTTATAGAAATCTAACATGAAATTCTTAAGTTCCTTTGAACATATCACAAATCGTTTGCAGTCATTATTATGATTTTCAGAATCCGAGTCGCATTCAAAATCTCCATGCTCTCTATATATTGGTTTATCCATATATTCACATTTAATTTTATGCCTGTTAGAAAGAAATCCCATGTCTTTAATGATGAAGGAAAAAAACGTGTACAATCCATCGAAAAATGACTTTAGTTCTCGTATCTGCTCTTTGTCGTTTACTTTTATTTTCTGGAGATAGTTATTTTTTAAACGTTTCCATTCTTCATTCCATAGATCATTCAATATTTTTGGGGTACGAATTCGGGTACCTTTATTTTTCGAGTTACACTGACTTCCAACTAATTTAGCTATTAGATTATCTAATGTTTTTATGACTAAATCGTAAGCTTTATCTGAAATCAATTCTTTTTTTAATGCTTTGTCTATTTTCTTTCTCAGTCGGATATATTTCGCGTTATGTTTAGATTGATTTTCCTTTTCCCTCAAACCATGTTTGTCTTTGCTTATTGACTCTACAATTTTCGTTTGATCTTGAAAAATTTTATCCGTTGCATTTACTATATATTCATCTTGTAAATACGATTTAAGTTCGTCTATTTTGTTATTTATTGCCTTTTCTACTGCTGTTTCTTCAACAACATTGTTTATATCAATATGCGTGGAATTTGCTGCAATAAGCTTCAAGTGATTATGAATAACTGATAGTAAATAATTGGGAATTGCGTCTCCTAATATACCGTTAACTATGTTTGTAGCTACTGCAGTCATGACGGCTGCAATATAAAAAAAAATATTGTTATCCGATCTGACATGTGATGATTTTGTTGTTTCGCGCATTTAATTACTCTTGCCAACGACTATAACAAAATGCAAATCGTGGTAAAAGTAATCACTATATTGTAGCTATATACAAAAAAAAAACTATACCAAGAGTTTGGCAAAATTGTTTTCTTATGTTTAATTCAAGATTGGCGCATCTGCCGTGTGTAGTTTTAAGTTTAAATTAGTAGTTACAATGTGAAAGACGAACTTCCAATAACGTTAGCAATCCCGACCGCGACATCTTTGTCTGTCAATTTTAACATAGTTCCCTCATTATCCGGAACGCTGACAGTAGCTTGTAATCGAAGATAGATTTACGCAGCCGTTCACTCACACGTGCGTCTTTAAGATTGCTTTATAATATAAAAATGACGAAATATTGGACCCTTCGCTTCAAGTTTTCTTTAACAAGTACAATCGTAAACTAACGTATTACGCATAGAATATAAATGATTATGGTAGATTTACCTCTCAGGAAGTGGTTTGAAAAATGCATTATTTCGTATTCCTAAAGCAATAATTTCATTTTTATCACCCAGTTTACTGCGACTTTATTCCTCGAGTGCAATTTGAATATTTTATTGTACTGCATTTGAAAGTTTATTACGAAAGAAAAACAATGTAAGCAACAGATTTTATTAAAAACAAAATAAAAAAGGCAACAGAAAAGATATTTGCAAAATGCAATTATTTTTTCTGTTTGCAAAGCCTGTTAAAGCTTACGTACTAATATTGCAACAATGGTATCACTTGCTTGTTAGAACTTATTAATTATTCGTAATACACAAGTATAAAAATATTATACATTTCTTTTTTGCTAACTCTAATTGGAGTTTAGAGGCGGTCTCGTACTGAGAGTAACTTCGTGAAATTCGTTAAAGCCTTTTAAATAACAAAAAGGTTGGTCAAGTTATTCTGTAGACTATATCTCAAGTTAATTAGAAAATAATTATGAAGATTTCTTTCATTTCGGTGCCTGATTGTGGCAAATAAAATCGTTGACAATCGGAAATACTACAAGTACCCGAAACCACCTTTGGAAATTTTTGACATTTCTATGCCTTAGATTAGCTAAGGTATAAAAATAGGAAAAAGTAATACAAAAAGATAATATTCGTATGGCTTACGAAAACACTTTTAACACACTTAATAAATAATAATAATCTAAACTAAATTATTCAACGCAGTATTACTTGTATACAATTCTTGTTATAAATTAATCGTCAAGTTTATTATTTCATAAATTTCTCAACTATTCGAGTAAATTAAGTTTGCTGTTCGTTTTGCGGAGCTGCGCTCTCCAGGGGATAATTTTAGCTGACTCTTCTTCGCGTTCTGGTTTACCGTTTGTGTGCCCTGCAAATTAATACTTTTATTACGGTAAAGGTTTATCGAATAGCGACAACGTTTGTTTTGGTGAACAACTAATAAATGTCTAGCAAACTATGAAATCGCCTTCCTAGAAGTATTAGAACACTGCCGTGTAATGCTTTCAAGGGGAGGAGATTACATTTTTAAAGGCAAAGTGGCTTTAATGGGAGCGTATTTAGACCAGTGTTTCCCAACATGGGGCCTATGCCCCACAGGGAGGCAATTTGATGGCTAATCGAAAGTTCATTAAAATGATTTGTACCTGAATTTTGGTTTTTCATTATGTTTTAAAAAGTCAAGTCAAAATCATTTATTCATATAGGTAACACAATGTACACTTATGAACGTAAAAAAACGTTAAATACTTCTAATTTTACATTTACTGCCAGTTCTCAAATCAAGAGCGTAGAACGGAAGAGAAGAACTGGCAATAAACTCTCCGCCTCTCTTTTTAATCGCCAAAAATTAGCTTACTGTTTCGTTAAAAATTTCCTAGTAATTTCATCCTAGATACTAAGGTGGGGCAGAAAAATCAGTTGAAATCAGTCAACCTATTTGTGCGCAAACGTTTGACAACAATAATTATAAATGACTGAACTGTTCTTATTATTATGAGGGCTGATTGTTGTTTTTTTTATAATTAATCATTCTGAATGTGAAATCTAATGATGAAATAATTTCTAGATTACGTGGAAGACTTGCTATCACCCCAGTCAATTAAATAATACCATAATTAATAATATACCTAAACCTACTTTGTAGCTTATGTAGAGATTGTAGAATTAAAAAAAATTATTACCATTGCAATGTTCTGTTGAGAGTTTCAGTTCAGATGGCGCGCGGGTGGGCTGCGCAGCAGGCGCATCATAACAAAGCGTGATGTTGTCTATGGATACGGCGCGACCTCCGGCTGGGTAAGGACGCCACTCTCCGTTACCGTTGTCTTCCACTTTTGGAGTGTATAAGGATTGTCTGGAAACATATTAATATATTTTAATGATATCGATATATAGTAATAGGTAGTAACATTACCAGGCATTGATTATGGCTCCATATCGTAAAATCGTACGTATTAAAAAAATGTTAGTCTTCTTACTAACGTGGAAATTCTGAAGATATTTACTTAAGATCAAAGATTCCGAGATAAGATTTAACTAGACTTTTTCATGAAAATAATTACTGTATCATTAATAGGAATATCCACCTTAATTTTTTGCATTCGCAGACACGGCATCATCTTTGCTAGGAAATCTATATTTTCTAACCTTTAAATCGACATGTTTTACTATATAAGATAATCGTAATTATGACTTTAAAACGTTACACTTAGTTAAAATGTATATACAGTCAAAACCGGTTATAACGACATTGAAGGGACCGTATAGTTGCCGACGTTATATCCGATAGTCGTTATAAGCAATGTCATATACACAAGTACAGTACATATGTATGTACATAGTTATCGATCTAGAATAGGTAGGTATGGGTTATAATATGGTATGTTAATATTATAATATGTAAAGGAGTCAAAAAAGAAACAAAAATATTTATTACGAAATAATTAGGTACAAAAGTAATCAGTCAGTCTGTTTTTTTTTAGCCCAGCCTCAAATATTTTTAGCATTTTACGTTTCATACTCCTCAAGGTATGAGTATCACCAGTATCAAACTGTTCGTTAAAGGCAACAAATTTTTGCAAAATCGTTACAGCGTTAAGAGCCTCGGAAATCGTTGTTGGCTGAAACTGTTCGTTGGGAGAAAGTGCGTAGGTAATAATATGCCTAAATATTCATTCAATGCTTATAAATAAAATTTAAAATCGTTTGTATTGTTTTGTTTTACTGAGACAAGAAGCGGTTGGTCGTTATATCCGATGAATATCGATAAACTTTCGTCGTTGTAAGCGATATGTCGCTGTATCCGATGTTGTTATAAGCGGTTTCTTTACTGAATAGTTTACTAGGGATTCGGACGGGACCATGCAATCTGGTTGTAATAACCGATAGGTCGTTGTAAACGATGTCGTTATAAACGGTTTTGACTGTATATACTATAAAATCGTATAAAATCGCAGTTAAAAACAAAATTGGTCTTAAATAAAAAAAACTATTGTTATTATTATAAAAAAACTTCCTCTAGAGATTTTTCTACACCGTACGAGAAAAAAATTAACAACACAGAGAAAAAACATACAAATAGTTTTAGTTGCCTTTTTACACGTTCATATATGTAGTTCTATAGCTATACATAATGAAGTACACAGCCATTGGCTACCATCCTAGAGCACAAACGAATAGGATTAAAGAGTGGTAGAGAGTTTCTTGCCAGTTCTTGCCCGCTCTACGCCCTTGACTTGCGAACTGGTAGTAAATGTAAATATGGAATCTATTTAACATCTTTTCTGTTGACGTTCATAAGTGTACTTGGCTACCTATATGAATAAAGTTATTTTGAGTTTGAGTTTTATTAGACTTTAGAATGGCACGGTAAACTGCAGTGCTAGATTAAGAATATTAGAGTTAATTTTTACATTAAACCAGTTAGAAAACGGTTAAACAATTCCGTCATAGTTAGTTAAACACAATAAATCATTTAACTGACTTTCGTATGAGTTCTAGACTTAGCCATAGATTATTTTGTGCACTAAATAAGACATGGTGCGTGTCTAACACATCTCAAACGTTACCCTAATTAGCTGTGATTAATTTGGCTCGCTTTAATTTTTATTGTAGAGAAAGGCTGCAAGCTTGTTATGTTTACTAGAGAGCATATGTGATGTGGATGAATAAAGCCTTATTATTATATTATTATTAAGATTTGTGTAAATAAAAGGGTAATTCAAGAAATATATTTCATTTATTTTTTATATACGAATCAATTTTTCGGTAGGTATGTTTATTATTTGAATTGAATTAGAAACAATAATTCAACTTACTAAAACTGTACAAGTCGAATATATTTTTTTAATAAATAGCCATTCAATACAAACTACCTTTCTAATAAAAAGAGTATATATACTTCCCCCTCGGGTATATATCAGTTGCAAAATAAGTTTCCCTCCAGTTTTTTTTGTCTATAAAACTAATTATTTTTTCATAGGAAGCTTCCTACGAAAATCCTACGAAGTGTTACCGTATGTAAACAAATTAAAGTTAAGTAATTATATATAGTATGTTGCTTTGCTTGTAAGTCATTGTTACTATTAATTATGAGCATTGGGAAGATAAACTATAACTTACCTCAATCTACACTCGGCCTCTTCTCTCCGTGCCAGTAGCTGCCTTTTCCAAGCAGGCACGGCCGCAGCCCTCCTTCTCTCCGCTTCTCCCGCCAACTCTCTCTCCAGATCTCTCCTTGCCTTCTCCGCAGCTCTTCTAGCCAGCATCTGCCGCTTCCAAACCGGGATAACGTTGCCAGCAGCATCACGCTCAGGGATCTGTGAATTACCCTTCCATCGACCAACCATCGTATTGAGTGTCCACATGGACGAATTAAACGAAATTATGACAAGTTTTAATGAAATATATTTTTTCCTGCATTTTTGTGATAGGTACCAAACGGTACATAAATATTGGTGCTTAATTCACAAAACCTGACTTTATAATGCAATTAAGGTATATGAAAAACACCAAAATAATCGCAATATGATAAGTTTGACTTATTATTAAAAATATCTGTTCTAGATTAATAATTTTTTTAACAAGAAGTTCACTGTTAAATATATCACACAACCAACACACTCCGTACAAAGAAATGCTTCATAATTTTAAGAAAACAAGCTCGCACGTTCTGTAGAATTTTAATTAAATTCCTTGAGTTAAAATGCTTTTGTCTTTCAGTAGGGAAGTATCCATCTATATTTTTTAAATCGACGAGTGCAACGAATGAACTTACATAGTTTAAATACATTTTGAGGGAATCAGACGAAATTAAAATGCGTATGAAAGTGAAAATAAGAATATTAAAATTGCTATAATTTAAGAGTTGCGGTAGAAATAATTTCCTCTGCCGAGAAACTGGCTAATAGGTGAAAATATATAATGAGAAATGTAAATAAGGCATGGAATACATGCTTGTTTTAAATTTCTATACACAGACTATAGACTACACAGCCTATAGGTAGACAGATATTTTTAAAATATTTTTTTTTCATCAACTAAAAGAGGTACACAATGAAAATAAATACCGGCTGGTAAGAAAGTTTGAAATTGTTGAGATGTTTTTTGTGTATACCTAGTCAAAATGAAAATCGAAATGCACAATTAACCCCGGATAAAACCAGATTTCTATATTAGTTTTTTGACATTTTAATAAGCAAGTAGGTTAAAAAAAAAGACTTTTGTGCCTGACACACGCCGTCGATTGGATCTAAGGCATGCCGGTTAGCCTTTACCGTATGAACATGTAACATAGAACGAAAAGTCCATTTTTACCCTGTTACGAACACGTGACCTCAGGGTTGAGTGGCACGTTCAAGGACATCATCACGTCGGATAAGACTACCAAGTTTTCATCATCACCGCCAATGTTTAGGGTTTTACCTAACTACAATACAGTTTATGTAGACATTTTCCACTTTACCTAAGAGGGTGTGAGGAAATATTTTTAGAAATGGGAAGACTTTGACTTTATTTAGCAGTAGTAACAAGTTTTTCTTTAAAACATTACGTTGTCGTTTGTTTAATGTTTTATTTCAGTTTTCTTTTATACTCAAGTACTCAATTGATTGATGTTTTCTGTACATAATTATTTTGTTTGACAATGTAATCTGTTTTGGATTTGTTTATTATCTTAATAAATAAATCATTCATCTTCAATTAAGAAGAGTGTGATAGCAATTTTGAACTTGATAACGCAAAATCTATTGGAGCCTTTTTTCTATTCATTATAAAATAGCCACAAATATGGTTTCAATACGGAAGTATCGTCAGCTTGTACAGTTAGATAAACAGTTGATTACATCACGCGATCGTCTTTCGTTTAACCGTGACCACAACGGTAAAAAGGGTGGTGGTTATAAGTATGAGTTTCATAATAGTTTAAAGTTTTCAACAAAAATCAGAAGGAGACACCTCGAGAAGTATTTTTTTTGTTAGCTGCTGAAATATTGAGGTCGCTGCAATGCTAAATAAGCATATTTTTTATGTTGACAACACTTGTGGATGGTTCTGTTCCTGACTGACGGGCCGGCGCGAAAGCCCCTGTGGCTATTTTTTTATTTTTATTTATTTTATTAAGTCTCTATGTTGGCTTTAGGGGACTTGACAGTTCAGCTTGGACAGTTTTTCACGAGACAAGCGCAATTTGAATTTGACATACGTTTCTGAATTTCACTCTTCAATCTTTACTAATTAACTATTGACTCTAGTTTTACAGTCGTACATGAGCTAATCAACTGTTAAATTTGTCACTGAGTCATCACTAAAGGCCCACCGTTCGTGTAAAGGCTGCAAAAACAGACAAAAATCATTGCTGTCGTAAAACATAAAACGCGATTTGAGACGAATAGATTTCACTATGCACTAAGAGGATATTTTCTTTTCTTACCTAAGATTCAGAGATGTATATTATCTTTGTATGTATATAATGACCAATTAGGGTTACTCTAGTTGCATCATTATTAATATAACACGTATGAAAAATACAACAGAATTATGAATATCTTAAATATTGAATCAACAGAGTTGGCCAAGTGGCTTCAGCGTGCGACTCTCATCCTAAGGTCGTAGGTTCGATCCCCGGCTGTGCACCAATGGACTGTCTATGTGTGCATTTAACATTCGAAGGGTGAAGGAAAACATCGTAAGGAAACCGGCTTGCCTTAGACCCAAAAAGTCGACGGTACAGGAGGCTGATCATCTACGTGCCTATTATATTTACAAATCATGAAACTAAAGAGGTTGCAGCGCCACTGATTTATGAGAAATATAAATCGAAAATACAGATTATGAGCACGTATACGTAATATTCCCTCTAAAGTAACAGCGAGCATTTTCCTTGTAGTAAACCCTTGTTTACTAAACAGTAAAAACTTTTTGATAAAACTCCTTAGCGTAAAAACAAAATAAAAAACATGGCTATTAAAAAAGTAACGGAGAGTATTGCCAGCTCTTGTCGTCCACTACGCCCTTTATTTGAGAACTGGTAGTTTGAAGCATTTTTTGACGATCAAACTTTTACACGAAGAAATGAATTGTGATAATAAGTATTTAAACTCAATGAGTGAAAGCTTATCATTTTATGGGTAAATAAGATAACTTTTATAGATACCTAATATATACAAAAAAAATAACATAATAATTGAGTAATAAGTAATATAGTAATATTACTTCATTTCCGAATGACAAATTACATAACTCTGGTCCAGTATGACCCCAAGGTCAAGGCTGATGGTCTTGTTTCCATCTCTTGTATACCGTTTTCCCAATTTATCAAGTTTGCCATACCCATACTTCAATAATAAGGAGAGAAAAAGGATGTAAATGGGAGGTCGTACTACTAAAAGCAGTTTCTTCTAGACAACCCAGTGATATAAAAAACAAACACTTAATATGAAATTATAATACAACAATCACTTTACTCAAAATTATATAATTCGAAATTGTTTTCGAAAGTACCGCGCAACGTATAAAACTTTACGTATTCAGCAATATATTAAATTTTATGTCCAAAACGGTTTCTTGTTATTGACTATAATAATAAAGTGTTATGTACTACGTCTAAACATTATAAAGAGGAAATATTTGTGTGTGAAACATATAAACCCAGAATTACGTAAATTTATGAAAATATGTATTTTTAAATTTGCCTGTTTAAGCGAAGCGGGGCGCTACATTGAAAAATAATATACGTGAAACTTCCACAGGAATCATACTAGATATTGGTGAAAATCGTAATAAATTCCGTGCAGTAGTTTTTGAGTTATTTTTATGAAATACAAAATTTAGACATATGCTGTCACTGTCTTTTGTTGGCATTATCAAGCTCTGTGACCAGTGTTGGCCTAGTACTTCAGCTTGCGACTCTCATCCATGGTCGTAGGTACACCAATGGACTTTCTATGAGCGCAATTAACATTCGCTCGAAAGGTGAAGGAAAACATCGTAAGAAAATCGCCATAGACCCAAAAAGTCGACGGCATGTGTCAGGCACAGGAGGCTGATCATCTACTTGCCTTAGATTGACAAATGATCATGATACAGATACAGAAATATGAGGCCGAGATCTAAAAAGGTTGTGCCTTGACTAAATTGACTTATTTAATAAAGTATGAGATGATATCTACAATACAAATAATATAAGAATTGACTTTGGCTAATAATGTAAAATTCCTTAAGACAAATTTGCGCGCCATTGTGTGTGGCAGAATATGCGAGCTTACGATTGTACCACCTTACACATTTTTGAACCATATTCTTGCAATAAATAAATTATTATTATTATTATTAACTTCGATAACAAATGCAGAAGTCCGAGACCATAGACAAGTTCGCATCAAAATGTACAAGATGTCATAAATTCTTTCCCGTACACCAGTTTTCTTATTAAACTTTTAATCTCAGTCTGTATTGTATAAGTTTATCCCCCGGTCAATTACAAAGACAATGTTAGTTCAACAAAATCTCGGAGTTTAGACGAAACTTATCTGGAAGGTCATTTAATTTTATCGCTCCTTCGAGAGGTCTTGGAATATCAAACTTTTATACAGCGACTGTATGACAATTCTTTATAATGAGACAAAAATATGTCATTTTTTGTGTGTTCAAGTGGAGTCGAGAATGACGTACATTTTTTTTATATATATAACTCGTGTGTACAGCACAACGTCTGTAGGACCCGCTACTATGTTATATAATAAACATTTTAACATGTGTACAATTAAAGAGGGCTTAAATATATGAACTTTACAAAACGAATCAGTAAGAAAGGGTAAAAAGTAGTAATTGGCATAAAGAAATAAAACATTTTTAAATAAATTAAATGTTAACGCGATGGAAAATCAGTGTGGACGCCCTCTGCCCCATCTAGGGATTATAAGGACTTTGATGATCATTACCATAATTATTTAAGTGTTCCTATTGTTATTATAAATAATATTCCAGATTTCTGACAAGGATTTATCTACAACTGTATCAATCATTCATATTAGTTCAGTATGGCATGATATGCATATGCAATTATATTAATTAATATATATTTTATCTGCATTTGAAAACATAACTTACAGTTATTAATAAAAACGATAACAACTCAGTCTTATCGATTTAACATGTTATTGTCTCTTTTGATCACAGCGTTACCACAATTTGACAGAAAGAGACGAAAGAGCATTTTAGTTGGTGCAATTAGACGCATATAATAGATGATTTCGGTTAAATAAATAAGTCTTGCTTTCAAATAGATTTGAGAGAGTCCGTGACTCAACAAACTTATTGTTTATACACTTTTCTGGTCGTTTCTAAGATCTTTGAATCGTGAGATTAATCGTGATTATTAATGACAATAGGTAGTATTTAAACTATAAGACAGCCTTTTTAATAGGCAGTCACAAAATCCGTGTATTTATTGGTACTTTAACAACTTCATTGTTGCTCAGCAGTACTTGAACGTACGACGTGTACGGGAATTGAACACTAAAACGATGACAGTAATGTCTACTATACTTGCAATATACAATAAGCTAATTATGTATTTTGTACATAATAAGAAACCATTAAGTTCGAAAAATTCATAAATTTAAAACTGCACGGAAGTAATTTCGCTCATTTTTCTAAAGATTTTCACTAATTGGATATATTAAAAAAACCAGTGGCGCTGCAACCTTTTAAGTCTGGGCACGCTTTCAGTGACTGTTTCGTGAGCCCTTTTTTTTATAGACTAGTAGGTGATCAACTTAACACACGCCGTCGACTTTCAGATCTAAGGCATACAAATTTCCCGTAATGACTTCACCGTATGAGCGAAGAATTACCCCGACCTTAGAGAGACGCACACTTAAGCCAACACTACTTATAGACGATATACAATATTTTATTTATATTTCGAGTTCCCCAGGGAAACTTTTGTACTAATTTTATAAAGGGCTTGATCTTAGAACCACCGGTTGGAATTTAACAAATATTTAATAATCCTCCTATCGAGAAAGGCAAACCTATAGGAACAACGTGGATGAAACCGTGACTAGTAGACGAGTAATAAAATAAAATTACTGTATAAGAATGAAACAAGAACAGTATTTGTGTTTGTATCAATAAATTAACGGTCCAATTATAATTGATGATTTGGAAGAACTTAAACTTGAAAGGAATTAATTATTACTAGAATTATTAACACTAACCAAACTTTTGTTGTTTAATTTAATGTATTTCTATACTAATATTATACGGCGAAAGGATTTGTATGTTTGTAAAGATTAAATTCTAAGGCTAATGGAGCAGCATGGTCTAAAAATAGGGAGGCCTATGTCAGAAGACAATTTGACTATTAAAAGATATATTCGTTATTTTGTATGTATCGCGGTCAGAGAATAACGGCTTCATATAACAAATAAACTCAAATCACCTCAAATATTCATTTCCAAAATTTTTAAACGTTAGACGTACGACGAACAGTATAATATTATTTTGTTTAAAAGCGTTTTATCATTCAATTAATTAATAGATGCGCACATGATTAATCATTACCCCAACTATAAATATGCGAAAATGCAATTTTTTCGCTTTATTAATTCACTACAATTCGTAATTAGGTTACAACAAAAATAACTTTCGTAAGTCGCCTTGATCGCGTTGTAGACAGTTTTCGATTACAAATCACTTTACACTTCACTAAACTAAGTTACATGAGCCTATTTGATGTTGAGAAATGCCTTTGTGTTTCTTGAATATTTAACTGGCAATTTCTATTTGGGTATGTCGTTCTATAAACGATAAAAATATATTGCAAAAATAATACTTTGGAATTTATAACATTCGGTTTTTAAAATGTCGTGTGCTCTGTTATTGTGACATTAATAATCTGTGATCGATATTTAGTGCTGGAGGTTAAGACGAAATCACTTTTCGACATACGTTACCCATTTATGCCAAACTAATTTGTATGAAAATGGTCACGTGACAAAGCGATACCTAATGTCATTCCCATACAGATTTGTTTAGTGTTAGTGGGTCACGTCTTTCGTAAGTGATTTTGTATCAAGCATTCCAAAAGACTAAATTTCGATCACAGATTACACTGGCATTTGCGTTCCTGTTATCTGTGGTATACTTGTACATTGCACATAAATAATGGCTTGCATTTGACATCGCGAACATAACTCTACAACTTCTTGACGTTTTTATAGAAAAAAAAGTCCGCCATTACATAAAGCGAAGTGTTGTTTAAAAGAACAAATCTTTATCACATAATATAATGGCACATTTCCCTATTATTTCAGATACCCCGCTAACATGGTTTGCGTGTTCCATTAGCGTAGTGGGTGGTCTTATAAATACTTAAGGAAAAACAAAAGAATCGCATATTCCATCAACCTAAAACAATTTGGTCAAAAAAGCCAGTCATCTTTCACGGGCATTAAACAGTGGGGGGGTATGTGTGCCACTGGGTCGACCGTGCGGATGCAACTGCAATTTCTCAGAAAATCTTTGATATTTCTAAGACGGATAATTAGAACCTTCTTTATATTTGATTGATAGTAAAAAGTTATAAAATATATTTTTACTACAAAGTGAAATGATTTTTTTCCAAATAATTTTAATTATAATCGTGTGTGATTATATTTATGAATAATATGAAAGCAGTAATCTATATAGTAATATTGAAGCCAAATACTATAATGTAGTCATAACTACAGACTATATTACATACTACAACCGAATTAGCGAGCACAGAGCACGTTTAATAAAAAATTTAACGTGAAATATATATCCGTTATAGTTGTCTATACATTCACTATTAACAACAAGACACGCAACAAGAAAGATAATTGAGCGTAACTCTTAATTCAGCCGAACCGGACAGAATATTCATATTTGTCGGCATTATAAAGTTTTTAATAACATTTCACGAAAGGTTTTCACGGTACGCAGTTTTAAAGTATAGCAAGACTTTTTTTAATAATTTATTTTCTTTTTTTGATAAAATTGACAATTAAAATTCTACAGATTCGTTTTACGTTTGCTTGTACATCTTAATCAAACCCAAAGACCTGTCCGTTCATCAACTGATGCGTGAACAAGTAAGCTACGGAGACTGTAATTGAAGCATGACTTATAAATTTTACTGTATTATTGTTTACAGAAAAAGCACTCACCTGATCAACAAAATTATCCGCTGTGAATCGTTTTGTGAACTCCGTAAACGTCTCCTTGTCTTGCAGGCTCTCGCGTCTCGCTCGTTCCACCTTCAACTTCTTAATCCCCGTTATATCCTTGGACATCTTCAATTCTTCTATCAGGTCTGTTTTTGCGTTTTTGTATATTTCCGCAGCGCTAGGCAAGCATTGCAGGCTCAACGACCGAGTCGGAGGTGCCGATACCGTCTTGGTCACTGTTGTCTTGAGCCTCACAGCTGAAAGTTCGGCGCTGCTGATCACCGCTAAGGGTTGTTGTTGATTGTTTAAGGGTGGCTGCGGGGGTGGCGGCGGGATAGGCTGAGGCGCGGGCGGCGGCGGGGGAGGGCGCGCCTCCGCCGCGCCTTCGTCCCTCTTGCAGGGCGCCGTGATTGTCTTCAAATACTCCGAGGGTTTGATAAGTCTATCGGGCGCGTTGTGAGGGAACGCGGGAGGCACGAACGGCAAAGCCGGCTGCTTGTTCACGAGGTTCGGGCAACGCGGTCGGTCGTCGTCTGCGCACGTCGAGTCGCGACGCCCCCCTGCAACAATTCACCGTTAGGGGGGAGAGAAAGTGCGCGTTGACTTTTATTGAATAGCGATAAAATTTCCTGTATTTTTAAGGATCTTAATATTATTTATGTAATTATAGCGGTTCATTTCCGTGGCGTATTAGAAAATTTTTAAGAATGCGTATGCGTGAGATTTGAATATTTTATCGGTATAGTCGGCAGGGGAGTAGAAATTGTGAATAATGAATATGAATGGTGCGTTCAATGCAACAATTGAAATGCGTAATGTCGATAACAATCATTTAAAAACCTAATGAAACTAATGTTCTAACTAAAATTTTTAGATTGTTACTAATGTAGTACATATATTAATTAATCAGAATATTTGAATAGAATTTCTCTGTAGTTTTTGTTTCAATAATAATTTATCTTAAGCAAAAAAAATCTATACAAATTTCAAACAAGCCGAATATGTTTTTGTTAAATTGCTTGAAAATTTGTAAATATAGTCTATGCGTTCACATAATAAGCTTAGGAAAATTTGTTTGCTTCTTAATGTGCTAATCATATGGTTCGTATTGAACAATTAGTGACTCATCTAAATAACGCTACGACCGAACGCGGATGAATAATTAAAAATCCGGCAACGCACTTGCGAGCCATCTGGCAATGTCCATGAGCGGTATTTAACATCAGATGATCCTCCTGCCTGTTTGCTATATAAAAAAATACCAGAAACAATATGACGTTTTTACATATAGTGTGATATAAAAACGTCATACTACTGTTTAATAGTATTTAGTTGCGAAAAAAATTAAGATCTTAAGTAAAAAAAACATATATTTTTTTCTTTTTTCTCTGTTTTTGTAATGTATGTATAATCATGTAGTGCAAGCAATGCAAGTATTGTGTTTTCCAGTAAGTGTTGTTAGTGCTTTAAGAAATCTAGAAACGCAAAACATTTAAACGGAGGTTTAATTTTAATTAGGTACCCGGTAGATAGTACCTGTGACCCCAAAGCTGGTGCTTTCCTCGCTCAACGAATGAGTATCGCAATACAGCGAAGAAATGCTGCCAGCGTCAGGGGACCAAACTTTTAAAATTTTATTTTATATTTATCAATTTATAATTATTATTATTTAGGGTAAGAATATTGTAAATACTGTTTATTTGTGTGTCGGAAATAAATATTTAAATTTTAATTAATATTAAGATTCAACGTCACAATTAAAACTAAACTCGTCAGTTAAAACTAAACTGAGAAATGAAAGTAAAACTAATTTAAATAAAACTTTTATTTTACATACACTTCGAAAGGCAAACAGAACGGCACTAACAACCCATTAAATGTAGAAAGCGAATTTAATTACAGAATACCATATATCACAATAGTACATTTCTCTTAAATTTTGACGAAAAGTTTTTTACAAATATACTCCAACACGTAGGAAATCTATTGCTTACTAGGGCTTTTGCACCTAAGAAACAGCAGAATACTTGACTTCCATATGTGCGACTTTTACAACTAAGCTTTTTAAGTAAATTATTGCTGTTAGTAGTCCTACCACTGGCAACACTGAAAACCTCACTGGTAAGGCTAGCCAAGATATTCATCACAAGAGCACCAAGTGCCAAATAAATGCCGTCCATGGACAATTACACTACCAGAAAGCTGGCTAGTAAATTTCCGGCCTGCCCTGCGATTCTGTAACTCACTTTTCGAACTCAGACAGCGGTTTTCGCATCGGCGATCGCTCTGAAATCAGTCGTGAAGCAGTCATTTTATGATTTGGCATTCTGAAAAGGTGGGAGCTTGTAGTTTATTGCTTATGAAAACCGCTGTGTAAGTTCGAAAAGTGAGTTACAGAATCGCAGGGCTGTTATGAATTGGTACGTTCAAAAGACACTACGTCGAATTGATTCGGAAAAACTTCTCTGGTTGTGGTGCGCGGCAAAAGCTGCTTAAAAAAACGCTCAGATGTGGAACGACGGACGTCGAAGTACGGGTGGAATTTCTTATTTTGCCTCGACGACCGATGATGAAAATCAGCTACAGCTATTCATACTTATTATTTAGTGGTATTTACGGTTTTTTGATGTTATTCTTTTAGCGCGTTAGGGAAAAATGATGAGAGTTTTTTTTTTCTATTGTTTGTGTTGTTTTTTCTACTAACGTAGAATAAGGCAAAAGGTAAAATTTTTGAAAAGATTTTTATCTTGTTACGCCAAAGAAGTATAACTTCTAACGCGTGTACATAAGTACGCACACGTTTTTTTTATTTGTTTCCAACAACATCGGCGTTTTAATTTTGAAATAATTTTCGGAGTTAGTACGGGTGTAATTACTCAATGCAGTAATGTATTATTTCGTACAAAGACTTTGAATTGTGAAAGCACAGAAAGTGGCAATTCGATATTATTGATTCTATTCAACTTTCTGTAAATAAACAACTGATGCCGACCGCCTAATACAAATTGTATCGAAAGTCATTGAAATTATCGTATTGACGTGAGTTTTTGCCGCGTGAAACTTTGTGAAACCAGCTGCCAACTGAAGTATTTCCGAACCAATTCGACTTAGGATCCTTCAAGAAAAGAGCGTACCAATTCTTAAAGGCTAAAAAGGCCCTCTGGCATTGGGAGTGTCTATAGGCGGTATCACTTAACATCAGGTGAGCCTCCTGCCCATTTGTCCCCTATTAAAAAAATTCTTGACGAAACCGTCAAGTGCTCATCTCAGATCTAGCGGAATCTTGCATTTTCAGCGCTTTTTATATTTTGAGTATTTTGTTTAGGTGTTGAGAGGAGCAAAAGCGGCCATATTTCACGCTGAATTAAGCGAAAGCTACCAAATCTAGCACTTCTGTTAGTTAACTTCGTGACTTAAATATTTATTTGGATACAATCGATTAAAAACACATAACTTACCAAGCCTGCTCCTCAACTCAGACGGCTTCAGCGCTGGTTCTTCCAAAACTACAGGTGGCGGCGGCGGCGGAGGAGGCGGTGGAGCTTCATCCCCAGAACTGCCCCCAGATGAAACCCCTGATGATGCAGAGGCTTGCACCACGACTGTATCATCTGATACTGATGCGCGACGGCTTCCTGCTGCTGATGATATACGACTTGCCTGCGATACAATTATAATTACCCCTCTGGTAGTTTAACTAAGTCCCCATTGGGGGATATGACACAGATATAAAGGCAAGCGATAAACTCTGTGTTTAAACAACTATTATTTCGTCAGGAACCGAATGTTAGACCTCCTACTATATTTTAGCTACTGAATGTAGCGTAATAAGTATAATATTTATTTATTTCGCAATCTATAATAATAATTTATATACAACAAAAGAACAATTATACTAAACATATAGCCAAAGATGGAACACATAATATATACTTTTTGTATACATTATGTATTCCATCCATTTGGTTCAAACATTTAGCTTTAAAGACTTTCTTTCTAAAAAAAAGACAAACAAAGACAAAAAATGTCACTTATCTGAGAATAATACTTTAGATTAACAATACAAATTAACATAACATTGTAGTCGTTCTAAAAATAATCACAATAAAAAGGTAGCCGTACATGCAATAAACTTAAAAGTAACCAAAGAAATATGAATTAAAAGTAATTATAAGAAATGAATTTAAAAGTAATTTTGTCTAAAATATTCACTTAGCTTCGATTTGAATTAATTGATAGAAGTAATATTGTTTATATTTGTGGGTAGTTTATTATACATTTACGAAAGGAAAATATATTAAATACGTAATACCTAATTTGGCTGTGCTGTTTGGTGGTGTAAATGTGAGGGTATGTACGTGAAGATGTGTGTACGTATACATATTCCGCAATAGCTTAAACCTATACCAAAACTTCAATATTGGTCGTTGTTTTTTTTATTATATCCATCTGCAATCAGCCTCATGGCTTTTATCAGATTTTATAAGAAATAATGACAATTAGGGAACGCAAATCCAATAATTTTTTTATTCCCTCCGTATTTTGTAAACTGTCAGACTGCGGTCGTTGTATATAGATGGGAGTATTTTGTTGCATAATATCAAGACGTATTCATTTATAACTTGCCCTAAATATTAATTGCGATAATTTTTCCTAAATTATAATTATGATATTTAATTTTGTTAACTTGTTGAACATAAAATACATAAAAAGCATTGTGCTGGTTCGTTAGTTTAGGTAAATTAATCTGAGCGGTTAATTTGTGGAAAGTAATGGCAACATCGACTCTTGTCTGTGGGAGTATGTACGAGCCAGGCTGTATATTTTGCTCTCAGGCTTTTTAGTTTAATAAGCGTGGCGATTACCTATATCGTCGTAGTTATGCCCCGAGAATATTGCCAGACGCAAGCACTCTCTTCAACATTTACATAACATAAATTTACCATTCATAGCAATTAACATTTAATTAATTTGCATTTATTCTTTTGTTTTATGGAAAAAATAATATCCTCTATTATTTAAATCATCTCCTTTACCCAGGAACCGTACAACAATTTTAACCAATAGCAACATTTTATACACTAGTGTCACTTCGTTATCAAAGCAATCGAGTCAAAATAGTCGATAACCTTAAACTGTGAAGTCATTGCTAGTGTTGGGACAAACTAGTATTTATAATACGTTTGACATACTCTTAAAGTAACAAGGTCAAACGTATTGTACGTAACACCTACTTGCCTATTTGATTGGCCCTGACCTTGCGCCATTGGTAAAAAATTTAAAAAAAAAATAGTTTATGTGTAACAAGTAGTGGTCACAATAGGACGATCTTGTATTGCTAGTACGGATGATATTTGATAGTATCTAAATAATTCCTGATCGATGTTAACTGTATCGGGTTTACGATAAAACTGTGATGATAAACGACTTGGTCCTGCAAGAAAAGAGCGTACCGATTCTTTAATGGCCGGTAATGCAAGTAACGCCTCGCAAGTGGCGAGCCTTCTGGCAATGTGAGTGTCCATGAGCAACGGTATCACTTAACGTCAGGTGAGCCTACTGTCCGTTTGCCTCCTATTACATAAAAAAAATATTTTCATAAGTATTCGATTGTCCTCATTCTAACATGTGTGTTTGAAATCATAAGTCAAATAAATAATAAATAAATCGAAACAAAACTAAAAAGTTAATAATATGTACAACACTACAAGTAACATAATTACCACTGGTTCAGTACTCATTTGAATTTAATCGAAACCAGACGTGCAAAATGAGCAAATCAATCGCAAAAGTTACGAAGACCATTATATCTTCACCCAACATATACAAGCCTGTGGGTCCATACAGCCAGGCTGTATTGGCGAACAATACTTTGTATGTATCTGGCGTTTTAGGAGCCACACCAGACACAAAACTCGTGTCTGGTGCTGCTGCCCAAACTAAGCAGGCTTTGGAGAATTTAAAGCATATTTTAAAAGCCGGCGGTTCGTCTTTAGCTGGTGTTGTGAAAACGACAATTTTGTTGGCGAATTTGGACGACTTCGCTGACGTGAACAAAGTGTATGCTGAATATTTTCCGGAAAATGCGCCGGCGCGTGCCTGTTACCAAGTTGCTAAGTTACCGATGAATGCTGCTGTGGAGATCGAGGCTGTGGCCCTGAGTGGCGATTTAGAAATTAAGCAAGGATTATAGTTCTCAATAGGTATACAAATTGGCAAAATTCATTCAATTTCAAAGGAAGCAACAAAATAATTTTAAAACAATTAAAATTATTCTGTGTCTAATAATAATCAGTCTGTAATCTATGTAAACAAAATTTATTCAGCGAAGACGTTTTTAATTCACTGAAAAAAAACTGTTACCCTACACTTAATTAAAAGACTCTCTTACAAGAATAGATAAAAATGTTGCTACATTTATTTAAATTGTCATTGAATTTTAAAATAAATAATTAAATATTTACTTTCGTTTTATTTAACTGTTCCCTGCGGTTTCATTCGCGTTAATGAATGACTCACGCGCAACGTGGTACTTGGCCAATTTTTGTGGAGTTTTTAAATTATTTTATACAATATTCTTACACGAAAACTGCAGTTTTCAAGACTATATATTTATAATAAATATAGTATTTTTCGATAATGGGGTTTTAGCTTTGGAAATTATTATTTTAGAACAAATTTAATGACCGTACAAACTTATTTTATATGTAAGTCGTTTTATAATTACAATATTATGCTTTCATTCAAGGCTGGCAAAATCAGGAGTAAAACGTCCGTCATACATTTTTTTTGCGTAACTTTCACCGTTCAGCAGCGCACACACATCACAAAGGAATATTTTTTTCCTGCCTTGCGATTCTGTAACTCACTTTTCGAACTCTCACAGCGGTTTTCACAGCGGCGGTCGCGCTCAAAGCAGTCATTCAGCCGAATCGTAAAATGAGTGCTTTACGACTGATTTGAGCGCGACCGCCGCTGTGAAAACCGCTGTGAGAATTCTATCTGTTTTTAAAACTATTTTGATTCATCCTTCTCTCCTATATCATGTGCCTTCCTTGATAAGTGGCCAGCATGCACTTTCTAACATACAAACTATAGCTTCACAATGAAAAATTAAATATTATGTATCATTATATACTTTTAAGTATACATGCACTGAGTTTTGTTCAAATAATCTTAACTAATGCGAAAACAAAAGGTGTTCTAATTATTGACTCAAATTAAAACTTAATTGGAATTGCCATAGCAAATATATTAAAATTCTTTCTTTAACAATAAAAAAATTAAATAAGTAACAACGATTTCACATTTATTTAAATTGCTAACCTTGAATAATTTAATGTTGACTTTCGTTTCAACTTAAAATTATATAATACTTATCAATAAACTATGTAATTAGTATTCAAATATTCTTATCATTCTTTAAAAACAGTACACTAATATAGTCGTTTTTTTATAGCTTTATCACGTTGATAAAATAATGACGCAAAATTAACGCCTCGATTTAGAATCATCACTAGACATCAAATAGTTATATATCTTATCATGATCAGTAGCAAAACTTAACATTAAAATTAATTGTTTTAATACAATTTACTACAAACAAACACATTGTTTAAAATCTGCTGTAAAGAGCGCGCCTTATTATGCCCGAACCCAATAACCTATCTCAACCCATTATCCACCATCTGAGATAGTAATCTTAATCCAAAAGTTGTAACAAGTGTGCCAATAACCAATCGACGGATTGTAATAGTCATCTGTCGATACAAGCTATCCATGGGAAGTCGTATCGGTGTCTGTGGATAGACTTTTGTATGAAAATGACAGTTGACGAAAGCTCCATTTCAACAGTTGATTATTATAACAGATTTTAACTTACACCAGTTTTTTAAATAATTAAAAAAAACTGTTTGTTATGTTTTAAACACATACATATTTTAATGTTATTTGTACGGTTTTACTTTACTTTATTTGATTATCAAATATGAGTGAAAACTCGGTAAAATGGAACGACAAAGAGCATTTTATGCGTCGCCAAAAATGGATTGTCTTCGTAGGGTTTGGTTATTGGGATGCAGATAGGAGATCGATCGACTGTCACGGTCTGATCAAGGCTAGCAAAATTCGTGATTTCACCCGCGCGTCTCCCCCCGGTCTAGTGACTAATGAAACAAACGTATGCCTGAAGTTCCTGTGAGATGAGACGGACAATACAGTGTTTCGCGGAATAAAAATGAAGTAAACGCCAATGGCTTCTTATTTAAATAACTCGTAAAATATACAATATTTAATAAAATCGCTAGTAATAGCTCTGTGCTAATAGTGCTGTAACGTAATAAATTTTTGGCTCCACAATACTCGCCATGATTAAATAAAAACGATATTATGCGAAAGTGACTTTGTGTTTTATTTGTATCGAGGAATTTATATTGCATTGTTTTAATTAAAGTCAACCATTAAAATGATAGTAAAGGATCAATACATATTTATTGTTTTTAATTCAAGCATCACGTAGATAAATAACCTTATACGAGAAAATTATGTATAATGTGAAGAATATTTTGTTGGTAGAAAATTTAGTATAATGTGAAGAATATTTTGTTGGTAGAAAATTTAGTATAATGTGAAATTTAAGACATTATACGGTTTTTAAATTTAATACTTACAAAGGTCTGTGCTTTATGTGTTAGTGCTGCTAACTTGGTGGCAATGGTAGACTTCGTCTGTGTCTCCAAAGGTGGTGGTGAGACTTCTTCGTAGTTTTTGTTTGAGCTGTGGTAAAAAATATACTAAAGAAACAATTCAGGATAGTTTAGTAATAAAAAAACAAAATTATTATTTTATATATAGACGTGAATATTCAGTGTTAAACCATATAAGCCTTTGTCATATTTTTATTTAAAAAAAAAAAGTACAGCTACAACCTCTTTGGGTCTGGGCCTCAGAATTCTGAAACTGTTTCATGATCATTTTTCAATCTAATAGGCAAGTAGGTGATCAGCCTCCTGAGCCTGACACACGCCGTCGACTTTTTGGGTCTAGACATGTCGATTTCCCCACGATGTTATCCTTCACCATTCGAGCGAATGTTAAATGCGTCCAAGAAGTTAAAGAAAGTCCACTGGTGCACAGCCGGGGCTCGAACCTACGACCCTCGGATGAGAGTCGCACGCTGAAGCCACTAGGCCAACATTGATCGTCATATTTTTTATATCTGCAAATATTTTTTAGGAAAACCGGTGATTTTTACCTGGCACACTTTTGTACAGAGCAAATCCAATATAATCCACTTTTGATATATAAGGGTCATACTTAGTATTCATAGGTCCCAGTCGGGATTCAAACAGTCGACATTAGTGTTGAAGATCGTAAATTTAACCAGGCACACATTAAACAGACACGTATTTAATTGTAACATTTGTGTGTTTACCTTAACCTCTAAAAAGAAGTCAATAAGATAAAAATACTATCAGCTAAAATGTTTGTTTGACTATAAATTATAAAGTATTATTTTATTTTGATTACCTTAATTTAATGAAAATTCCGAAAACCAATTGTTTTTCATGCTTTGTATACTACTTTAGGTATTTTCAATAATCATTAGTTGCATCTTTATTTCGTTGAGAATAAAGATTCTGATGAAACTTGAAGATGATGTGTCAGTAGGCCGTTCACCTACTTGCCTCTTTGTTTCACAAATGATCATGAAACAGATACAGAAATCTAAAGCCCGAACCTAAAAAACGGTTGTAGCGCCACTGATATATTGTCTAGGCTCAGAATTTGATTTTGTCCCATTCGGTGTCGAGACCCTTGGTCCGTGGGGTCCTAGCGCTTTAATTAACATTTCAAAAGGTTAGTCGACATCACAGGAGACCGAAGATCTGGCAGCTACCTCGGTCAAAGAATTAGTCTAGCAATTCAAAGGGGGAACGCTGCCAGTATCTTCGGAACCTTGCCTAAAGGGACTCCTTTTAATAATATATTTTAGTTTATGTTAAGTTTAGTTATTTATTTCAATGTATATTATTTTATTATTATATTTAGTTGTCTATACTTAAATTTACTTGAGGTCTGGTCTAGTGAGAATTTTAAACTTGTTCAAATCCATATTTTGTTTAACAGCTTTTCATATATACAGCAGCGCCCACGAATTCCACTTCTTCTCCACAGACTAATAGCTAATCAATTGACTCACGCATCAGGGGCATTTTCTTTGTTGTCATAGTCAACGACTAACGCCGCGCTGCCCGGTCTGCTGTGACTGCCCGAGTCTCGAGAACTGCTTCTAATAACGAAAAGTATTTAATTTAGTTTGGTAGTGGAGGAACCGTCGTAACTCCTTGTAACAATTATGTAGGGTAAGATTCTGCACAAATTCTGACTTAGGTACGTAAAAAATTTGATTTCGACGTACAGAATTTCACCGTTAGTGGGCGAAGATGGCTGATCACCATACTCTACGAATGATGAACGAAACAGGCAAACTGGTTCTTGTTTTGCAGCGTGCATAACTTTTTATCAAAGTGTTTGTGCTGTCTCTTTCTGTCAAGTTGTGTATACGCTGCTATAGTAGAAGAGAGATGAGTACTTCATACGGTGCAAGGCTGGTTAATTATGAAGGGAACTCATAGAACGTTTCAATTTCCTAATACACCATATTTGTCAATTGTCAATAAGGTTGATAGAAATGGAATGGAAAATTGATTGTCAATAAGGCTACAACTTAAAGAAAAGACTTTCAAAAAGGCAAACAAAAGTTATGCTAAGCACCACTCTTCTCTTAATCTTACCGTTAGTAAGTAAACCTATTTTTTTTTATACAAACGAGCTTGCGGGACGACCAAAAAGGGTAGTCTGCGCAGCCCATAGACACCCACTTTTAGTGGGTGTCTATATCGAGTCCTATTCGACAAATAGGGGTGTAAGTTCACTCTTAAACTTTTCTCAGCGTTTTTTTTTATAGAACGGGGGCAAACGGGCAGGAGGCTCACCTGATGTTAAGTGATCACTTAACACTCTCAATGCCAGAGAGCTCGCGAGTGCGTTGCCGGCGTTTTAAGAATTGGTAAAACTCTGTTCCCAATATTTGGTAAGAAAGTATTTATCAATTGTCAATTGAAATTGTGGTGTCTTGAAAACAGTGAAAATACCTCTTCCTATGATGTTCATCTCTCGCTAAATAGATATCTTCATAATGGTGATCTCTTCGGTTCGCATCAGCTCCACTGTCGCTGTCCGATTGTTCCTGAGCCACCTCCTTGGTTCCATGCACCTCCGCTTTCACTAAAAAGGTTTATTGTTAAATATACAATTTATCCCTTTTGTTCACAAGCTGCTAAGCTATCAGCTATAGTTTAAGCCAAGAGCGTTGCCTGGGGGGATGGTAGGGGCAGCTGCCCCCTTATCGGAAACAACTTCGGTAAAATTTATTTCCATTCCTTAATTCTTGAAGAGATATAATAAGAAATATGTATTAATGATAATATATGTTTATTTCATGCCCTAGGGATTTCTGGAAATTTTATTACCAGTTACACATTATCTACGAAGATATACTTGGACAATATATATTATTTTATGAATTCCAAGGGACTTATTTTTAAATGGTAAAAATACATATCTTTTAATGATTAAATTTTAATTTAAAATAAATAATTCTTGGAGACTCGAGTTGTAGAAGAGGAATGAACGAGCTATAGCTTAAAGCGATAAGCTACCTGTCATAGTGGGAGCCTCCTGACCTTCAGCAGGGACCCTCGGTCCTGGAGAACGTGTGTGGAACAGGTCCCTGACTCGTTGGTACAAAGCTGCAGGGGCTCCAGACGTGTTGGTGGACCCGTGCAAGAACCAACCACCGGAGTTTGTTGTGTCTGCTTCTGATGCGGAACATCCTGCAAAGAGAATTATCAGATAAAACTTTGTTTTGTTCAGTTTTATTTAAGAATGAAGTATCGGCACAGATGTAAAGCAGTTATGTCCAGGGCTTACAAAGATGATTAACAAAAACATGAAGAATTTATCGTACCATTTAATATTGAATAATAAACGTCTTTATTATGTGGTGGTTTTGTAAACCACACGTTTTGTATAGCGACAGTGTACAAGTGTACAATCGTTCGTCCGTTCGTTCTACCCGCGCGCATTAAAATATTAGCTACTGAACTAGCTAAAATTGAACATTAATCAATTTACAACACACTCCTTAACTAGGTGACTGCACACGTGCACACCTAAATTTATGACCCCGACGTGATGTGATATGTGTTTATTTAAAGTAAAAGCTCTCTTGCGATACTCTCTCTCTATTTCTCTCTTGGATATGACTGATCGCTCTTGGGATATTCTCCATGCCTTTAAGCGAAAGATGGTGCAGGTAGTATTTCGGCACCGATACAAGTTAAAAAAAATTATTCGATATATATTAATTACAAAACGAGACATAGCGCTAAGTCCGTCAGAGTCAAAATGTATCGGATTTTAACATACAGTTAGTCTACTTTTTGAAACACACCCTAATTGATATGAACATGCATATCACTTGCCCCGGGAATCAAAATCGAAAAGCAAAATCTATTTTTTATTTCAGGAAAACTTAAGAATGTAATGCTATTATTACAATGATACCAAGGACCTGCAAAGATTGTGCTACGGGAGGTCCTTCAGCTACCCCATCTAACCACTAGTTGTGTTTGATCCATGACTTTTTGGCCATCCTGTATATATCATTTAGATTTATTTCATATTTAGCGGTTGTTAGGTATTTAGTGTAAATAGTTAAAAATTAACTAGATGTAAATTACAGTAATTTATCTAATGAAACTAAAGAGAAAAAGCGTTTTACGATTGTTTCATTGTTTAAACATAATTACGGACGATACCTACAGTAACCGCACATTACGACGAATGTCTAGAACGTAATAATTTATTACCACTCTTCGCGAAAATATTATGACCTTGGTGAAACAGTCAGAATTATTACTACTCTTATTATTTGTTTTTAAACTGTCGCATTCATTTTTATGATTTTTAAGTAAAAATACAATCTAAACTAAAATATCTTTATGGTTGTTGCGATCTATTTCAGGTGCATTGCAACATTGTGCTCAAAATAATTTCCGTTGAATAATAACATCCTCGTGTTTTTTATAACACAATATTTAACAAAAAGGTTTAAAAAAAAATACAGTTATTACCCAATAAAGTCAAAAATGAGAACACTTAAAACTTTTCCCCGGGGCAAGCCATATAGGTACGGTACATGGTTTTTTTTTCAGTGTTATATTATCTGTAAGTGATTGTGTATATTATTAGTCTGTCTTATTTATTAAACACACTAATAATATACACTAGTAATTTACGAACGGCCAACAAAAACGTGATTTCTTATTTTAAAACATAAGTGCGAAAAGAAAAACAATTATAATAAGCAATGCGCGCTTGCGCGTGTCGTCAAATTCGTCGATTTTTAATCACTACACGGGATGAAAAATACAGTTACACCAACAAACGGAATGAATAAAGAGTAAAATGTTTGTATCAGTACTTTTCAACAGCTGCTTCTCTCTCTTCTCAAAAAAATATTGAAAATTGTCAAGTACAAACAAACCTGAGCTTTCCTCTCCCGAGGAGCTGTGCTGTGCCACTGGCGCTGTTCTCTGCATTGGGTTGACGTACAAACCATCGGCTGGCCCAGATCTGGATGAGCCGATGGACCCCACGGTGGAGGAGACGGACCCACGACGCTCACGGGTTGATGCACATCGCTCTGGTCCGTGTAGGTAGAATGGAGACCGGTTGCTCGCGTTGATGCAGCTTGAGAGGGCACACTGGAATTCACATTTCATTGTTAATGTTCACCGACATTAAAAAAGGAAAGAGATTTCTCAATTCAACCGATTTTGTTGGAAAGAAGATATCCCAAGGGTGGTACTATAAGTAAACCAGAATCTGATGATAGCATCCCAGAGAAATTAAGGAGTACCTTCGTTAATCTCTTCAAAAACAAAAAAATTATGAAATGATTCCTCCGAAAGTACAACATTTTTTTTATTATTCTTAAATGAAGCAGTAGAGGAATGCGAAAACAGGTCGACATTTTCTTAAATATGGAACTGGATTGACGTTTGACCACAATCCTACCTGATGGAGCCTCTTGGAGGGCAAATTTGTACAGGAGATGCCTATTTAACCCATATTAAACTGTCTAGGGAAGATGGATGGGGATGGATGGCAAGGAGTTCCACTCTTATGCTGGTACAAGACGATGTTCCAAATCTTGCAGTGACCGACCCGGGGATGTCAACACTGGATGAGTGAAACTCCAGCGTGCCTCTATGAGCGTTGTTTGAAAGGGGATGACGGAATCAGGTTGTGTCATTGGAGCACTCTCCGGAGTGGAATCAATAGAACTGACTGTATACTTACTTGAATCTGTAAAGATGTATTGTGATAAGTATATATTTTCAACTTACTCTTGTTTCTCCGGGAGTACATGCGCAGGAGTGGACCGCCTTGTATGACGACAACTGCTTGTTGTCGCCCGCTGCACCCGCCGCCACGAGAACGTTTAAACACTGAAATATTTTAAAGATATTTGGAGATCATTTTAAAATTTTATAATATTAATAATGACAAGCGCAATAATTTTATTGATAATACAATAATTCCTGTGATAAGTCATATTGCCGTTTACGTTTTAATTGTTGAAACTTTTTTTATAACTTTATTCATAATAAAATATGGTTGTAACAAAATTGATCTAACGCCAGTCCCCATACTACAGTTCTTCCGTAGTACATGGTGCATGTTACTCACTAAAATCTTACTGTTAAATCAAATCATACAGAAAATAGTGTCCTTAAGTATGCATGAGTGTATGAGTATGTGAAAAGGTGTGTCTGTATTTGATAGTGTGGCTGTGTATAAGAGTGCAGTATCTGGGTTTTTGCAAGGTTCTAAACCTTGCCAAAATATGTAGACTTCTATAGAATCGATATCCAAATCGGCAAGCAATGTGTTTAAGTTTATATCTGAATAGTTTGGCTATCTCAGAATCAGCTTTTTTATAGAATACGAGATCAAACGAGCCTGGCAGTCATCGCAGCTCATGGACACCCAATTTTAGTAGGTGCGTTGCCGGCCTTTCAGGGAGGAGTAAACTCTTTATTTTAACAGGGAAGGCCCCCACTGGGAGTCGATTCCACTGTTCGCTAGTTCGCAAAAAAAATGTCTTGTGTCGTAGATCGGGTGATTTTATTACACATTTTATTTTATATACACTGAATTCTCATTTGTTTATTGTGTTTTAAAAAATTAACTATTTTCTCTATAACGTAAATAAAAATGTTCCGTCATAGATGGATTTAAGATATCTAGATCTAAATACAGTGCGTACAAAACATCGATGCGATTATCATTTTCTAACCATTAATTTTCGTGAAGATTACATATTACACGCACATATCATTAGCTTGTAAGGAAGATATTCGTGTCGTCACGCGTAATCTTACATAATTTAAATTATTAAAATATTAGAAAGTTAATTTGCTGGAAAATTGTTAGTATATCTTGTGTTCATAGGCAGTACCGGTGACCCCAGAGCTGGTGCTTTCCTTAACTAAAAAGTATCGCAATACATCGAGGAAATGCCAGCATTAATGGTATTTCACAGGGAACAAACTTTTTAAATTTGTTTCACTTTTCTATTTATCCATTTTTAATTATGTAACTATAAGATGCGTTACGGGATGTATTTAGTAGTATTAAAGTTTCGAACTGTGCGGCAGTAACTTGTCCTTGTTTTGCGCACGGTGCGGAGTTAGAATGTCTATATTCTCAAGCATGTATAAAAGAGATAGATATATTGTTAATGTAAGGGAAATATCTTAACGCACAGAAATTAAATGATTTTCCTCTGTTGCGGTACGGGAACTATTTGGTCCTATATGCGACCCATGACGCACAATTACAATCTAAAACATCGAAGTCAACCAACCAGTCAACAAAATTTGTGTTTAACTGTGTTATGCATAGGTTTAAAAGAACAATTTATGGGAACGAAAACAACGTTTCATAACGAAAAATCGATTTAATATGAAGTGTCTAGTATTAAATGTATCTACTACTCTTCCTTTCTTGGCGAATCCTTTAAGGTCTCTGCAGTGAGGCTATTGAATTCATTATGTCTCTATTCGCTTTGCTCCTTCTCTATCTTCCTTTAAATCACATTGCACATTTTCATTTTTATGTGTCCTTTTCTTTAATATAGTTCGGTTCACTGCTTACATATTATGTTTTAATTGCTTTGTTTTGTACCATTCGTTTTGTCTATATCTCTTATGTATTTTTGCACTTCTTGCGCTTGCCTTATGTAATGTTTTTCTCACATTGTTTACATGGAAGAGATCGGTCGAAAGAGAGCTCTGCTAGAGCTATTCATTTAATTATGTCAACTGTATATGCAACGATGTGTTTATAAATAAATAAATGTATCACTGCTTCTATAAAGTCAACGAAAATTTTTAATAATTCAAAGCAAACAAATACAATGACACTGCGCAATTTAAAACCATTTCATAACATGTTTACATCGTTGTGATTGACGCGAGCATTCTTTTAGGGCCTATCATTAAAGTGAAATTGAAAAGTCATAGACAACACATTGATACACTCGCGGACATTTTAAACGATTCCACAACAATGACAGATAAAAAAAATAATGCCATTGTTTTTATGTACACAAGATTAGAGATTATACAAAGATGTTGCAACGGTAAAGTAATACTAATACAGTAACAGAATTATTACGCGATTTGAGTCTCTCGTATAACACGGGTATTCCCCCTATAACGCCGGGATTTCGCGTGTTATATTTCTGTGCTGTGATTTGTAAGGGCTTATTTCATAGTATTGTCTTTGATTTACATAACCTTTACACATTTAAAGAAAAAACTGTTTGACCGGATTGAAGTTATGTATTATTATAAATTTACAACTATTTTACATAATTTTAAATTTATCCGACGTTTCGCGTGCTTTACAGCGTGCGTGGTCACGGTTTTAATAATACATAAATTTATAATAATACATAACTTCAATCCGGTCAAACAGTTTTTTCTTTAAAGGGCTTATTTCGTTCATAACAGGGTTTTCTTAATTTTCGATTTGAATCCCTTTTATTGAAAAAAGTTAAATGTGAATCATTTGTACATAACGCGTATGGGGTATTCTCGCATAACAACGCAGCGGGCAGGCGTCAGTGGGCAGCTGGTTCCACATAGTGGTGGTGCGCGGCAAAAACTGCCTTAGAAAACACTCAGTTGTGGAACGACGGACGTCGAGGTGATACGGATGGTATTTTGTATTTTGCCACGGTTTTTATTTCATACGAAAATAATCGAGCTCCAAATAACATAGTATATTCGTACTCAAGTCACACAGTGCGTAGGGGCGAGAACCTAGAGAAGCTCATCGTGATTGGTCGAAGGCTAAATATCGCATGGACGTTCTCAAGTTTGAGTGACCAAGTCAAAGACTCGTCACCAACATGATGGTAAAAAAAGCGCAGGACTGAAATCGGTGGAGAAAAATTATTCGCACCTTAGATTAATAATACTAATAATAAAGCCCGTTTTATTTCTAATCATGACATAAACAAATTATAATATATAGCTTAGATTATTTTAAATGTTTTTTCTTTTGCTTGTTATCCTATATCTAAGGTAGCTAGTACCTTCAGTACCGTCGATCGGAACCCCTTCACGGGTAAAGGCCTCCTCCAGCTTTTTTGTGTCTATAAGTCCCTTAAGTTCTTCATTTTTATCTCCGAATTATAATTGTAATAATTGATAATTGTTGATATACCTGGGTAAACAATTATTATTCGCACCTTAGATTATACACCATAGAAAATCACGGGACATAGGTCTTAGTGATCGATCCTAATTATTAGTCCGCAAGTGTACGACCATAATACACTTTCATCTCCATTGTTTGTTTGTATGGAAAGTGAATTAAATATCCAGTAATTACTGAAGGTTTATTCAATAACCTCTTTATAGTATGGGAAACATGATATCAGCTTACTCGTACATAAATAATTAGTAAGTATATTGATAGATAGATAGATATTTAGGACTAGTAGGTAATCTAGCTTCTGTACCTACCAACCATAAATAAAATTCGACGTAAATCGAACCGCAAATATCAGAGTTATTCTTTCGACAAACAATCGATTTTTCTACTCTAATTCAAGATTTGATTGTAAGTTTGCATTAAATATGCCCTAAAACTACTGGACCGATTTGTAAAATTTTTTCACTATTAGAACCCCACGTTATTCCTGATGAATAGTAGAAGTATATATAATACATTATTATATATGTTCAAAAAAGTTAGTTGTATGAAATTATTACACTATCGTAATTTGATGTGAAAAAGACCAAAAAGAGTTCCTATATGCTGCGGAAACTATTGACAATAGAGGAAAGTGGAGTAGGTACTATAGTTTTATAGACCCAAGGCGCGAAGAAACCTAACAAATTCCTAACTCGCTGAGGAATCTATTGACAATAGAGCAAAGTGATGTCGTAAATTTTTATATAAAATATCAATATCTACAAAGAGGCCGCAAAGTCCAACAAAAAAAAAGCTTTGTCCCTTACTCGAGTTGCCTGGAAGAGATCGCTTGTTAAGGACAAGGCCTTAAGGCTTATAATCTTTATGTATTATACTTATTATTTTTTTATTTAATAAATGAAACGAAGTGTGAATAAATAAATAAATAAATATTTGTTTATAACTACACACTTGTGTTAACGAAACAGACACAACCTTTGGTATATAGAAAGGTTTACCTCTAAATGATGATTCTCAGCAGCATCGTTAATAGGGCTTTTTCCATGTCTGTCCAAGTGAAGTCTTGCCCCATGTCTTAGCAGCCAGCGGACTGTTGACAAGTGGCCCCGCGAGGCTGCAAAGTGAAGAGGAGTGGCACCATCTCCATCTCTAGCGTTTGGGTCTACTCCACGTTCTACGATCTGAAATTACATGATAAAAATAAAAATAAAAATAAAATATGTTTATTATGGAATATAAGATACAGGTATCACTTATTCCACGTCATTAAATTGGAAACGGTAGACATCCCTACTCATCGGCAAAGAAGACAGAGGGTGTAGGCCGAGGGAAAAAGCCTGTATTAAGGTTAAGTTGTGATGTTAATTATGCCTGGTAGGCGTAGGTTCGAACCCCATAAATGAAAGGACCTATGTGCGCATTTAACAATGTGTGGTGAAGGAAACCATCATCTGGCATGCCTTAGATAAGCAAACCTGGCGCCGTACAGTTGCAGATGAGGCAAAGAGAGTCGGAAAGACTTGGAGCGAGGTGACATACGAGGCTCAAGACCGAACACGATGGAGCCTCACTGTGGACGCCCTGTGCCCCATCTAGGGGTAATAGGACATTAAACGAAACATTGCCTAAGACCCAAAATAGACGTGTTTCAAGCGCAAAAGCTGATCTACTTGCCTATTAGAAAAATCAAATCACGAAACAGATACAGCAATCTGAAAACCTAAAATTTTGGAGCCCCACTGGTTTTCTTAGTTACACATTGATAAGGCATATTTTTATTGTCTCAGAAGCAGCGCCTACGCACATTCCCATGAATAACGGTGACTTGACGTTTCGTTGCAAATCTCGTAAATAATAATATATAATGGCTGTTTTTATTAGTAATCATAATAGTCAAATACACAGTATCTACAATTTTCTTAACCTACATAGTAATAATAAAAATATTTAAAAATTATTAAAAATAAATCTAAAATATTAGTTTGAACCAAATCACCATTCTAAACTATAAAATATCAAGGCGGCTTCGTGTTTTGATTGCTTTTGTAAATATTTTGTTATGAAATGTAAATATGTATATAGGGACATATATTACTTGATATTATTATGACTTAAATTACTGATGTCTCAGAGCAGAGACAATTATTTACATTTGGCTGATCTTAGGTGCAATGGACACAATACTAGAAGACTCCCAATTGTGTTGCCAATATTTTATTAACTTGTAAAATCTATAAGTAACTTAAAAAGCTTAGTTTTAAAACGTCGCATTTTGATGAAAAGTATTCTGCTTCGAACCCTATTTTTTATAGGTTTAACTTACATGATACAATACAATAGATTTAATATTACAAAAGAAATATCAAGAAAACATAAACGCGAAAACACTCAGTAGTTTTCTATTAAAACATGGACCAACTTAATGCCTCCTCTTAGACGTCATCTGTCATTAGATGACATTAGACGCATATGTCAAACAAGGAAAACAATCCGACAGTGCTTCAGTGCCTAGGCTTCAAGGTTTCCGTTGGTTACATTAGGATTTAGGAGGCGACATCAGTGAAAACTAACCTCTCGATAAGGGCACACATGACACAATGTATGAAAATAATGAACGAACTGCACATATTAGGTTTGCTTCATGTCAATTACTATACTAAAGAGTCTGGCTAATGAAAGAAGATAATTGAATTGAAACTTTCGGATGTCATTGAATTTCTTAGGTTAGTATGATTGACTTGATACTTCATGCAATTACTCATTTTTATTTCCATTATATATTTTTTCCGAATAGGTAACAGGTATAATAGCCTTAACTTTGTTTTATTTGATAGAATATTTCGTTTCTTTCGCATTATTTGATTATTCCGAATAAAGTTGTTTTATAATAAATATAGTTTTAGTTTTCCATCCAATGCTAGTCATTTTAAGTATCAATAGTATAAGACTAAATACGTATAGTATTTAATTTCATAGAAATACAGTTACTCTCAATGTAAAAAATAATAAAATTAAATTAAGTATCAAGTAAGTTTAATCCACAAAATATATCAAACATTTAGGCATACCATACTAATTTTTTTTTAATTTGCCGCGCTTTTTCGCTATCTTCTTTCATTAGCCAGACTCTATACTATAGTAAATAGTTAGTCTTTTGTAAATATTTTAATCTATTACTGTTGTATTTATGTTGTTTATTTTGTTGTCAATAAACCAATAACACAAATCCTATCAACAATTAAACAATCCCTAAAATAAATTTATTCAAAGCCAATTCTACACCTATATACTTTCTCTAATATCGCACAATGCATTAACTCATCATTGTCTATTACGATGACAATGTGCAATTGCCACAGACATTTTCTATCGATCTTAACCATTTCCGTTGTCTATGAAAGCTGTCATTACATGTTTGAGATACATCCAATCATAGGTTGGATGGAATCATTTATGGAAAGTTAAATTGCTAACATTTAAATGTTATGCAAACAAGTATTAATTTACTGGAGCCTGTTGCATGTTGATTCAATATTAAAAAAACTGTGGCGCTAGTTATGTAACCTAACATTAGTTAAGTTACATATATATATTTTAGTTATATATATGTTAGTTATTTTAGTAAACAAAATGTTTATCATATCAAAGCAATCATCGCACACTTGAAGCTAATATGAGCCCTTTAGTTTTTACCAAACTCATAAATTGTAATTTAACTCGTTTCCGATAATGTCCAATAACATAAGTGTCACTTAGATTTGCGAACTCTTCAATAAGTCAAGTTAGTTTTTTGTACGTCGCAACCCCACTACCCCTAATGTTATCTTAGTTATAAGTTCATGTTTTAAACAATTAAAGCTAATTGTTACCCAGCTTCAAACAAAGTGTTTTATTTAACATAATATGTTATATTTGAACATCCACATAATAACCGCCACTTAACTTAATTCGCTACAACCTTTTTTGTCAATCTAAGGTAAGTAGGTAATCAGCCGTGCCTGTCACACATACAGTTTTTGGGTCTAAGGTAAGTTTCCTCACGATGTTTACCTTCATCGTTCGAGCGAATGTTAAATGCGCACATAGTATAAAAGGCCATTAAAAGTATTTTTGCCGGGGATCAAACCTACGACCTCAGGGATTAGACTCGCACGCTGAAGCTATTGATTCCATATAGTACAATTAGAATAAAACTTTAATTAGGAAACAATTATTATTTAATTAATGATATAGTTATTACTTACAAACTTTATCAAGTTACGCGATAACAGTTTCAATAAGAACGTGTAATTTTCGTTACATTTGGTAATTACCAATATTCGAAGTTCCAAATATAGCTACAGACTACAACAACAATTATTTTCATTAACTTTTTAATTTTATTGCAGTAGAGTCTAAACGTGATCCGTAATCAACACACAACGGGTTCGAATTACGGCTGTCCACCCAGGGATCTTGGATATGAGCTCACAACACTCGCTCGGACAATGATGGAAGACATCTTGAAGCATGCCTTAGTTCTAGAACTGAACATTTAGGCACAGAAGACCAGCCGCCCCTGATAATATTTGCGTTTATGGTTATATTTACTTTGTTTGTCTGCCTTTAATTTAAGATGCCGCCGAAGCTACGTCCGTTCCTATCCCTGAATAAGCATGCGGAAGCGAACTGTTTTTTTTTTTAGGAAAATATAATCTACGTATATAAAACCGAAGAACATTTTATTCGGTCAAAATTAACAAATAATAAAAAAATACGTTGACACATGAAGATTCGTAGCGATTCATAGGTTTCGCACAAAGGCCGAGGGTCGGTGCGGCCCTGCAGAAGACTGATTACATATTTGTCTATTACGAGAAATAAATAATCACGAAACAGATACAGAAATCTTCGCCTAAGATCCAGAGAAACTCAATTCCTTATTAACCGGACATACACTTAGTAGATTTGTCTAAAGCGCGGAAACAATAAATTTTATATTTGTCAGAGATTTCCTATTGAAATTGCTTTCATTACTTGAATCACGACATCAATTTCCTATCCGATAATAAACTTATGCAATGTATAAAAAATGTATTTGTCTTTATATAAGAAAGGAATTGTCGTGCAATATTTTCTACGCGTGAACATGTTGCGTCACTCTTTTCTCTGAATACCGTTATTAGAGGAATATAAAATCTAAAAGTAATTGCTTTGAAATTGTAGTCTTTCCGTACAAAAGGTGGTTTATAAAGTATGGTATTTTGAATTTGCGAACATATCTTTGCTTAGTATGAAACAATATGTATACAATGGGCATTATGAATAAAAAGAAAATCTTTTTACTAAAGTGGGGATTTATCTTTATATTAAATTGTGTTGACGCTGAAATAAAATCACTGATTTAGTTTTTCATGACTTATGGTATATTTTAAACTTTTCAAATTTACCAAAGATAGTTAATATAGTAACATTTAATATTTGCGCGTTGTTCCCACGAGAATGTAAGTGCGTGCTACTATTTCACCATGCCTCCTGCTGATAGAGGACAAGTCTTTGTTTTTAATTTATGTTATTATTATTAATTACTTAATATGTCATGTGGAACATGGTATAATGGTTGCAGCTCCTTACAAACGTTGTGAAATAAAAATGGCGATTAAAAAGAGTGGCGGAGAGTTTATTGCCAGTTCTTCTCTTCCGTTCTACGCCCTTGATTTGAGAACTGGCAGTAAATGTAAATTTAGAAGCATTAATATGTATTTCCTTATTTACGAATTTATTATTATTAAGTGTACATTATGTTACCTATTTGATTAAATTATTTTTAACTTTTACTTTACTTTTATTTATCTTAATGCAGTCTCTGGAGCACCATTTCTGAGAACTAAGAACTCGAACTTAAACGTAAATAATAAATTCACATAAGCGTTAGAGAAGTTATTTAAATCATCGTGATAACCAAAGATAATGTTAAATGTTAATACGTAGAAACAAAAAACCTTTATATACAACTCACCATCCATTTGACACAGTCCAAACATCCAGTCTGCGCCGCCGCGTGTATTGGTAACATCCCATCGCGAGCACGCGCATCTAATCTTCCTCCAGCTTCCAACACTAAATACTTGAGCACTGCCAGGTGACCCTCCTGCGCTGCCAGGTACACAGGAGTGACGTCATTGTCCATAGCCGTGTTCGCACTGAAACAAAAGATAGTAATTTAGTAAAGAATCTCTAGGTCCAACAAGCAACTTTCCATCAGATTGAAAAATCCACTCGAATAAGTACCAAACAACTTTATTGCAGAGACCAGTGGCACTACAAGCCTTTTAGGTCTGGGCCTCTGATTTATATATCTGTTTCATGATTATTTGTCAATCTACTAGGCATGTGATCAGCCATTACACCTTGGACTTTTTGGGTCTATGCGAATCCTCACGATGTTTTCCTTCACCGTTCGAGCTCATGTTAAATACGCACATAGACAGAAAGTGTATTGGTACATAGCCGGGGATTGAACCTACGATATCAAGAGAGTCGCACGCTGAAGACCAACACTGCTGTCAATAATACATGAATGATAATTTAGTGTAGAAGCGAACTTAGAAAAAATAATCACTACATTTTAGAATACAGCATTTAGTCTGGCATTGATTGGTCTTTTGTAGTCTTTTTGGAAAGAGATCGGCCGTGTGATTTGAGGTCACAGAACTAAATTACTTTTTATAATCTTACAATATTGTTACGTCATTATAGTAAAAAAGTAATCTAGTAAAAGATTGACATAGTTTCGGGAATGAGATAATGCGTAGCAAATATACAACGGAAAGTTGCGTACCTGGGACACGCGTTGCATCATGACCATAACCACCTCCGTGAATTAATTATAATGGGTGAAATCCAGGGTAAACGTGCTGGTAGTAGGAAACAAATGGCAAGTTACGGAGTAGAACGGTATTGTAACTGCGGATGAGGTGCTGTATCAGGCACAGGACAAGACACGCTTCACGAGACTGACTGCCAACCTCCATTAATGGAGACGCACCACCACGAAATAAACGTATTAGTTCGCATAACTCCTACGACAGTTCTCTTCCCGCACAGAGTATCATAGTGACAAGAAGTTTTTGTGTTTAAAGTTTACAAATTACGAGGAACAATTTTCTTTCTTTATTATAGAGTTTCTTGCGAGCCATTATCGACGTACGTTCTTTTCGAGTTTTGATTAATAAAAAATATGAATCGAAAGTACCTTAGTAAAATCCTCAAATCTTCTAAAAACACCCACACATCAGGGTGAAATGTATTTTAGCCAACGTGTGATGAGATTGCTTGACTCCATAAAGTTAAGATAAATGTAATATTATGTATAAGGTATAAAAACGTTTTCTTCTCTCTGTTTGTGGTAATGTTTTAATTTACCTTTTTGAATTTTTTTCACTCTTTAGATAATAAGTAATTTATAATTTATAAACCTTCAGGCACCACGGTTAAATCCCTTCGTGGCTGTTGGTATTTTTGTTTTATTTTTTAAATAATAATTACGTCTACTTGTAAAAGTAAGTATTCATTTTATTTATTTACACTTACATTAAAAAAAACAAATAAGCGATCTCTTCCTTCCATAGTAAGGTAAAAACTAAAAAAGACATATTATGCGTAAAGTGCAAGAAGTGCATAACAAAATCTTGTAAAAATTATTGAATTACCAAACTTATTCTTTAGGTTAAGTTATTTTAGATTATTATTTTAATAACACAAAAAGACCATTAACTAAAAAATATGGTTAAAGATGTATGTAGAAGAATTTTAAAAGATATTAGTTTGTTAGATTGTTACTCCATTCCATCGGCTACCTCCCTAACATCTTCCCAGTATTTAAGCAGCTTGAGGTCTCACATATAAGCTGTTAAAAGTTTATATTTGTTAAAACATAAATGTAAACCACTCACGTTATTATGAAATCCAAATTAAAAAGTAAAAATATTACAAAATGTAACAAAATCCAGTCCAAACAACAAAAATAAAACCAATTTGTCAAACCTGTTTATGTCGTAACCGACCTCCTGACATCGACAAGTGAAAACGAAGATAAAAGTGAAACGTGAGATTTGGTTAACGGTAAGACTAGACTGTTGGTTACGTGGATGATATAATAGGCGATTAACTTAATTACAGGTGTTTATACGATAATAGCTGACCTAGAAGACGGAAGGAAGTCGATTGAAGGCAGAATCGTAGGTATTATATTTGATATTCCTTTAATATCACAATTTCTAACAAAGGATTGAGGTAGGTATATGTTTTAAATGGGAAGAAATACCAACCGTTTTATATCATCTATTTTTCTTAGCACTATTTAAGCCACGTAAAAAGTAAAATGCCAAAACCTTACGCGTTACGCGTACCTAGACGGTTAGCTTGCCGCGGACGCCAGTAAAGTGTCGTCAGATTAGATAGATTTTTTAGATTACATAAAATTTTCGGTGTTTTAATTCCAACTGAAGATCACCTATTTGTAAATTACAATAATTTTCAAATGGGTGCCTTGGTTACCTATATTGCCAGGGGAACCGAATTGTCTCGAACAACTGCAGGAGTGATAGCAGTGATGGCAACAAAGGCAGGAATCATGGCAGGAGAAGTCCGCGTCGATCACCCAAATGGTCTGACCAAATTAAGACAAGTATCGGTCTCAACATCCCTAATGCCGGAAGACAAGCTGAGAAGTGGTATGGAAGTCAACGTATCGGTTAGGGCTTTTCAAGACAGGCACCTTTTTGAAGACTACTAAATTAGTCCTGTCTTAGTGCCTGGTGCTTTCGAAATTAATCGTCCTTTTATTTCTAGACTCAAAGATCGTAGATCATTACGAGATATTAGTTTTATTTTGACGTCACGCGTTCAGAATTCAAAGCAATTCGTTATTTTTCCTTAGATAATGGAGGATATGAACGCACTCAATTTGCATGTTCAGCAATAATCAAACGTATCAATTACCGAATCTAACTTGTTTTAACATTCACATGATAGCGCAATAGCGGTGAAATTGTTTACAGTTTCAAGGAAAATTACCTAAAGTTCCATATATGGTGTGTTACGCACGTTTAAAAAGCACGCAAGTTTAACACGAATAAAACTAAAGGAATCGTTTAATTATATTTAATAATGTTGCTTTTGCAATCATAACGTACGTCAATCGACTCGAATTATTGGGGTAAGTGGCCTAAAATATAATAGTAAAAACAACAAAATAAACAGCTAAATAGAGGTTGTGACCTCGGGGTGAATGACCCTGTTTGAGTTAATACAAAAGAATTAGGTAAAACTCTAGTTACATTATTAATAAGGACTACTTTAGTTAATACGGTTCAATTGAATATTTTTTCGTAAGAAATTGAAAGAGCTTTTTCATGAAAAAGGATCAAAATATTTGTTTCTTTTATTTATTTATCAAAGTTTTAATATTACGTAGAAAATACATTTTACAGAATGTCATGTCATTCATGTCTAAGGATTATGAAATTAATTACGTTAAATTTGTATTGTTTTACAAATACAACAGGGCTAATCAGTTTGTGTGTTTTTTAACAGTGTATAATTGAATTATATTTCTAACCCCATTTTGAACATATGTATGTATAAAACTTTACAAGTGTCTTTACATGCGGTATTTTAATTCCTTCTAATACATAAGCTAACTTCATCTCGAGATTAAAACATCGTACTTAACACTTCAAAGTGATGTAAGAAATTAATAATTTATAAGACCCGATAAATATGTTGAATCGTTATGCAAATCCATGATAAACATTAATGCTTTATGCATTAGGTTTTGCAATCAAAAACTAGAGAAAGTAAGGAATAATATATTTCATCACTAATTAATGATTAGAAAGCTTTTTTGTTTATTATAAATGTATATATTTAATTACGCGAACTTGTTATAAAAAAATCAGTGGCGCGACAACCTTTTTAGGTTAGATTTTTGTATCTGTTTCATGATCATTTGTCAATGTAATAGGCAAGTAAGTGATCAGGCTCTTGTGCCTGACACACGCCGTCGACTTTTTGGGTCTAAGGCAAGCGAATACTCACGATGTTTTCCTTAGCCGTTCGAGTGAGTTAAATGTGCACATACAAAGAAAGATGCACAGCCAGGAATCGAACCTACGACCTCAGGCGTGTGAGTCGCGAACTTGTTTGATAACCTATTTATAATTCACTATTACATCTGTAAACGTCCAATACAATTACAACATCCAACATTTGATGAATACCATACTTTGTTTAATATCCGGGCACACTCCATCAAAATATGTGAATGTATGTGTGCATACACATATCTTAACATATGACATATGATACATATGACAAGCCGTAGTCCCGTTTTGAAATATAAATTCCTGTAAAGGAATTCCAAATGCACTTGACAGTGTAATAATGTTTCTTATATAAACAAACGCAAAACTCGAAGACGGCTGGATCAATTTGAGTATTTTTTAAATTTATTACTAGAACTCTGAGAAAGGTTTTCATGGAAAATTGCACGGAAAACCCAGTTTTCTTTTTCTGTAATTGTGAAGGCGAAGTCTCTATGGGGTAGCATAGCAAACTGTTGCATGTGTTGGTATGTAGTTACTAAAAGGTAGGCTAATTAAATCATATTAAGGAGAAATGAAGTTCGCGGTGGCAGCGAGTATAAGATAATTATTGATTAGTTTATAGCTAATTACATATCACTACCACGAACTACTTTACATTTAAATGGTAACCATGGTAACCTTTTCATTATAAGACCTAAAATCAAACACAGCACACCTCGCAGTTCTCGTCGAGCGAGTTTGCTTATCTTGCCGAAACCGCGTACAAATTATTTGAAGAAGTCTATTATGTATGAGAGTGCGCAATTATTTAATCAATAACCATCTAAAATTTCTAATATTAGCTCGTTTAACCAATTCAAAAGGGCATTTAAGATACGTATCAGAATGAGCCTAGACTAAAATTAGGCTGTCAGATGTCGACATGTATCTATTTAGTTTCTAATGTAAAAAAATACATTTTATGTAATGAGAAATAAAGTTCTTTAAACATTTAAATGTTAACATTAAAATTACCGGTCTCGTCCTCCATAAGTCCCCGATTTAGTTTTCTGATATTTCTTACTCTTCTTGCCTTTCTTCCCGAATAACTTACTCGTCACCCGACTGTACGGCGGGTGGGTGTTATTCTGCGTCATTGTTATAAATATTGAACCATAACTTCACTAATGACAGTAATTTTTTGCATAACAAAAAGCACGTCACATTGAATTTGGACACAAGCGCGGGCGCAGGTTGTTCGCGATACACTGAGCCATTGAGCTTACGTTTTCACAGCGAAAGTGCATTTTCACAGAGGTTTAATGACTCAAGCTCGACGCGTGTTTTCATTTATTGATCTGTGACAGTTTTAATTGTGTCTGGTTTTTTATATCTAAAAAAAATATTTTTTCCTTCTTTTCTTATAATTTTTAGACGAATTTTAAATACCTAGAATTTGTTTTTAACAAGGAAATCAATGTAACTATACCTTACTATCACCCAGTGATAATTTTATATGTATAATTATTTTATTTACAGTACGTATATGTTTCAGTACTCGTAACGAAATTACTTTAAGTAATATTTAGACCACGCAGCAACCAAAGGCAATTAAAGTATTTTGGCCCAGCGTGCGTCTCTCATACCTGAGGTCGAAGGTTCGATCCCCGGCTGTGCACCAATGAACTTACTATGTGCGCATTTAACATTCGCTCGAACGGTGAAGGAAAACATCATAAGCATTTGCATGACTTAGACCAAAAATAGTTGACGGCGTGTGTCAGGCACAGGAGGCTGAGGCCTACTTGCCTATTAGATTGAAAAATGATCATGAAACAGACGAAATATCTGAGGCTTTTTTTATGTATTATGAGTAAAGCCCCGAAACCTTATACACTAAAACTAAACCAGCCTAAATGCCGTTCAATCTCTTTCTCACGATTTCTGTTTACGCGGTGATGAAAAGAGACAAACTACTTTAGTTAAAACCTGATTTATTTTTTATATAAGGTTAGTGTCTATTAACCATTATAGATTATAGACAGAAAAGAATCCTCTGCACATACAAACCTTGTTTGAGCGTAGGATTTTTTAACGCGTTACCGAGTTCTTCATAGTTTTGTCTTTGATTTACATAACCTTTACACATTTAAAGTAAAAACTGTTTAACCGGATTGAACTTCAATCCGGTTAAACAAAAAAAGTTTTTTTCTTTACTGAGTTCTTAATATATTTGGTTATATAACGTCCTTGAAATGTACTTAAAAGGTTTTAAGCAATATTTATAAGCCCAAGTCAAAAATCTTTATTGCGATTGTAATTATTACGTATAAGTTCGTGAACACGACTCGTTGGTGCAAGTTAAAGGAATAGGCGAATCAAATTAAATTCTAACAACAAACTAACTTTGGTGGCCAACTCAAATAAACCCTCTGGCAATGTCTACGTATATGGGCTGTGGTATCACTTAACATTAACCTCCTCTTTTGCTCCCGGTTTCATTAAAAAAATCCTTAATTCCAATGAATTAAAACTGATCCAATGATCAGTTTGAGTTATTGGTGCAAATAGCGATTATCGTTTTTAACTAATAAATAAATCAAACATTACTGTTAACGTTGATTATTTCTATTATTTATTGTTTAGTATTTTAACCTATGGTGCTCAGTAATAATGTATATTATAATGTAGTAACAAACGAAAACATAAAGTAATTCCTTCGTCTTGCATAACTCTTTATTGAAGTTATACTTCTTTTGGCGCGTTAGGGAAAAATGATGAGAGTAAATTTTTTACGATGCGCACGCACACCGTCACAAAAAAACCGACACCCTGAAGTTAGCTATATTCCACATTTTAGTTTTTCCTATTGTTAGTGTCGTTTTTTCTACAAATGTTACTGACAACACACATTATTAAAGTTATACCTATTTCTTTTGGCGCGTTAGGGAAAAATGATGAGAGTAAATTAATACGGTGCTCGCGCACACCGTCACAAAAAACCGACACCCTAAAGTTACCTCTATATTCAATATTTATATCTATAGTCAATATTTTAGTTTTTACTATTGTTAGTGTAGTTTTTTCTACAAACGTAGAATAACATTTTTGAAAAGATTTTTATCTTGTTACGCCAATGAAGTATAACTTCTAACGCGTGTACTTAAGTACTCACACGTTTTTTATATATAGATATATAGTAGTATAAATTTGACAATTAATATATAAATATTTGACAGTTAATTTATGACCATTCAAACTGGGCGCAACTCTTGTAATGTCAAAACTCATTGTCGTATGGGAGCCAAACTCAGCTCATAGCCTCCAGAGTATTACTCACGAATTCTGGGCAACGCTTATAACTTAAACGCATTGGTTTCACCAGCATATCGACTGAACATGACATGACTCTTTCCGACTTTCGCCAATTGAATGGCCACTTCTAACTCGTTATAGATAAAGATTACTAAATATTATTTATAGATTTGTTTTTTATCATTCTCTGTATCTAAGTTAAAATTACAGTGTCAATTAATGTTTTTATCACCATTAATGATTTATTTTAACTATTTATTATTAAAGAAGAGAACTAAGTACATAGGCACTTCTCGCTCAACGAAAAAAAAACGTGTGTTACGTACACGCGTTAGAAATTATACTTCTTTGGCGTAACAAGATAAAAATATTTTTAATTTTTTTTATCTTACGCCTTATTTTACTGTTGTAGAAAAACCGACACTAACAAAAGAAAATACTAAAATGTTGTCTATAGCTAACTTCAGGGTAACGGGGTGCGCGCGCATCGTATAAATTTACTCTCATCATTTTTCCCTAACGCGCCAAAAGAAATAGGTATAACTTTAATAATGTGTGCTGTCAGTAACATTTGTAGAAAAAACGACACTAACAAAAGAAAAACTAAAATGTTGTCTATAGCTAACTTCAGGGTAACGGGGTGCGCGCGCATCGTATAAATTTACTCTCATCATTTTTCCCTAACGCGCCAAAAGAAATAGGTATAACTTTAATAATGTGTGCTGTCAGTAACATTTGTAGAAAAAACGACACTAACAAAAGAAAAAACTAAAATGTTGTCTATAGCTAACTTCAGGGTAACGGGGTGCGCGCGCATCGTAAAAATTTACTCACATCATTTTTCCCTAACGCGCCAAAAGAAGTATAACATCAAAAAAAACAAAATGTTAGCTATAGTGTGTCGGTTTTTTGTGACGGTGTGCGCGCGCATCGTAAAAATTTACTCTCATCATTTTTCCCTAACGCGCTAAAAGAAGTATAACTTCAAAAGTATTGCAATACAGCGAGGAAACACCAGTATTAAAGGTACACTGCCGGGATCAAACTTTTAACGTTTGTTTTAATCATTTTTTAATGATTATTAATATTACTATGTAGGTTAAGAATATTGTAAATACTGTATATTTGTATGAAAATGCACTGCAGATATTGAGTTTAATGTAGGGTTTAACTATCAAAATTTAATGAGACCTAAATAATAAATACAAAATTATTAACAAATTAATTCATACAAATCTATCCGTTACACAAAAATCAGATACAAAATATTCATTAAGAAATATTGATACATTATGTTTAATACAACCAAGGACTAATTACGGAAAACTTAATAATATGTATCAAGGCGCACAAATATTTAATACATTGCCACCCAGATTAAAAGAAATAAAACCTTTTTACAAATTTAAAAAACTTTTAAAAGTACATGTAATTAACAACATACCTATAAAATAACAAAAATAAAAACAAGCATATTCTATATCTGTGTCTGTAACAATCGTAAAAGTTTAATATGAATTAATGGAATAATTAATGTATGTATTTACAAAACATCAAAAAGGCTATTCTAGCATTTACGTCTGCGAACGAGCGTCTTAGAAATTATTACTATTCATTGTCACATAATGCCTGTTGTAACATCGATGCGACCTACCTGCACTTTTGTTACAAATATGGTACATATTGTTAGAAACTAATATTTTTATTTTATATCGTGAATTTTCAAATAATTTTATAACACGATGTACATAACTAACTTACTCTAAATTTTCTCGCTAAGTGAATGTAATTCTTTGAGAAATAAAGTATCTTTGAACCTAATATATAATTTCACTTAAGCTATAAAAACAGTAGTCTATGTAAGGTGATAATACGTTTCCTATATAAAATAAATTGTTGACAGTATTTTAAGTTATTTTTTGTATATATAGCACTATATATTAGTATAGTAACACATATATAAGCTGGCGGAAATCAATCATATTTATTTTAATCCATAATACATCGTATACATTTTAAACAAGTATATATTTTATTATTATTCTTTATATGTAATAATTATATTTCTTATATATTATACAGCTTGTACGGTGTTGAAGCAAAAAAATTTTCAAAATTCAAAATCATATATTCATATTTAACACAATGTACACTTATGAACGTCAAAAAAATAATATTTATGAAATGCTTCTAATTTTACATTTACTGCCAGTTCTCAAATCAAGGGCGTAGAACGGAAGAGAAGAACTGCCAATAAACTCTCCGCCACTCTTTTTAATCACCAAGTTTTTTGTTTTACACAATGTTTATAAGGAGCTGCAACCATTACACCATGTTCCACATGACATCTTAAGTAATTAATAATAATAAAATAAATTAAAAACAAAGATTTGTCCTCTATCAGACTTACATTTTCGTGGGAACAACACGCAAAAACATAGTCGAAACAACTAACATCACCGCATACACGAATTCAAGTCCGACCAGTCAGCACAAGTATACATGGCAAGCCATAGAGGCAGGAGGTATTGTTTTATGTCTACAATTGTGGTCTGCATCTCTGAACAATGTTATATATTCATTATTCGTTTATATGTACAAATTAAAAACTTAAGAGACAAACAAGAACACATGTAATAAATAAACATTACAAATTGCTGTCGAAAGGTGAAAACCAACAAAACAATGTCCACGTTGTAATTACATTCCCACCCTTTCTACACAACAGATGGCGCTAAAAAACTAACATTGTTTACATTTACAACAAAAAGTATAAAGCACTATTTGCATTATTATTGTTCCGATGCCTAAATTGTTCGGAAACGTTTTCGATTCCAAAGAT